TACCAAACCGGCTGGCCGGTGTGACTTCGGCCCCCAGTTGTGCCAGCTTTGCTTCTTATGTTGTGGGAGGGCGGGTGGGACTGGGCATGCCATGCTTGACTCGCTCGAGCTGGCTAGCTTGACTCCTACTCCTACTCCTACTACTACTACTACTACTACTACTACTACTACTACTACTACTACTACTACTACTACTACTACTACTACTACTACTACTACTACTACTACTACTACTACTACTACTACTACTACTACTACTACTACTACTACTACTACTACTACTACTACTACTACTACTACTACTACTACTACTACTACTACTACTACTACTACTACTACTACTACTACTACTACTACTACTACTACTACTACTACTACTACTACTACTACTACTACTACTACTACTACTACTACTACTACTACTACTACTACTACTACTACTACTACTACTACTACTACTACTACTACTACTACTACTACGACTAGTGGTTCCGTTACAGGCCCCAGGAAGCCCCCAGGAAGGGCCCAGGGAGCCTGGAGGCCGAAAAGTCCAGGAATCGATACCGGATACAAATAAACTCCAATCGTTCCGTCCTGGGCCTCCGGAGGGACCAGGGGCGCATTAAGACCAGAAAGTCAACGAATCGATACTGATTACAAATAAACAGTCATCGTTGCGTTCCAGGCTCCCCCTCCTCGTCCTCCTCGTCCTCTTCCTCATCTTCCTAATCTTCCTCCTCCTCCTCCTCCTCCTCCTCCTCCCCCCCCCTGTCCTCCTCCTCCTCCTCCTTCTCCTCCTCCTAATCCTCCTCCTTCTCTTCCCTCTCCTCCTCCTGCGAGGATTTCAATAGGAATCCTTCTGCGGAGGATATCACTGGGGATCCTTCCGTGGAGGATTTCAATCGGAGTCTTTTTGCAGCGGATTTCGTCAGGTCCCAGGAAGGGCCCAGGGCGCCCGGAGGCTAAAAATCAGCGAATCGATACAGGATACAAAAGGAACTCGAATCGTTCCGTTCCAGGCTTCAAGAAGGCTCCTGAAGGGGCCCAAGGCGCCCGGAGGCCCAAAAGTCAACGAATCGATACCGGATACAAATAAACTCTAATCAGAAAGGCCGGACGAGGAGGAGGAGGAGGAGGAGCTCCAGATCCTGTATAGACCACAGCGCTGGCAGCTACGAGCGCCGCGCTACGACCGACGCACCAATGCCTCTCAGAAACAGCACAACACTGCGTCCCTGAGAGCACCACGCGGCACGCACGCAACCGCTTGCCCTCGCGAATACCACAGGTGCACAGTAGCCTGCGAGCGCCACAAGACGTCCGCGGTCGCCACCGGACGACCGCCGTGACGTGAGGGAGGGGGGGGGGGCGGGGCCGGTCACGCCCGTGATCGCCAGGAGGTTTTCCGAACGGGCTCTTACCAACAACCCCGCTGGCTCCTGGCGTGACGCCAGCTCCGCCAGCGCGCTCAGCCGGGAGTGCTTCGGAGACTGGGGCGCCGCCTCTGTGCCAGGCGCCGCCTGGGGATCGAGGGGGAGCAGGCCGCCCGCTGTGCTCACGCGCTGCCGCAGAAGGCTCCAGCAAGCAACACCACTCGATCATCCCTGGAACATGTCAGGAGGCATCTCATGGGAGCTTCCCGTGTAATCATGCTGGCTCGTGCGAATCGACGCTGCATGACGCCAGTCGACACTAATCGACGCTAGATAATCGCTAATCGACGCTAAACCCACTACTCCCTCCATCGATTACCAAACGACAACGCACACTAGTGCACCTTCAAGCCGGAGGTGCGAGGACACTAAAGGTTCCAATTTGAGTTGCTATCGAAGGAGGCAACTCCTGGGAATTCTCTGCAAGAACGAGTAGGGACAACGACGACCGATGAGGGATAAGCGGGATCAACCCACATTAAGCCCATGATTGAGCCAGGTTTGTCATAGCTAAACAATACAAATTCTGAATTCAACAGAATCGTGCCGGATCAGGCCTGTTTTCGACCACGGATCTACCAGCGCCGATGTTGAATGTAACATCCCAGGAGTTGCATCGGAAAGACCGTATGTCAGTGCCACCCTGTACTTGTCCAGCGACGCCTGCACTAAAGGCGGACACGGTCTGCGTGCTATCAGTGGAGATGAACGGGGAACATCCCAATTTCTGGGGATCATCGATACACCCTGCCAGGCTTCAAATTAGGGCGGGTCCTGAGGTTTGGTGAAGCAAATATCCTACCCCCAACCAGAGACAGGCTCGCGTCGTAACCGAAACTCCGTATTTGGCCTCTTGGGGCTTCGCTGGGCCTTAGGACCGTCAACAGAACGGCGCGTGATGAAGAGCCTGCCCCAAAGAAAAGGTCGGGACATCAGGAGCCCGTGCTTAAACAATTACTCCGACGGCAGGACCCCACATGAGAATCCAGCGATCCGCTCTGACAGAGGGTGAAAGTGCGTTTGAGACATGTGGCTGTCCCCGTTCCCCCTTTCCCCCTCACCCGTTCCTCCCAAAAGCCCTCCAGATGACCCAAGAGGCCCCTTCCTGCTCCTCGCCCTCCACCCTTCCAGACCTTTGTCCTCGCCTGCTCTCTTTCCAACCAGTCTGTCAAACCTTCCCTTGGGGGTCGGCGGAATGGCATCAGCCTCTTGAATATGTTTGGCTGGGAACCTTTCACATGCCTCGTCACATCTGGTCCTGCCTCCATGTTCTCCCTCGTCCTGCTCATCCCCCTCCTCCTGCCTCAATATGCTGACTTCTTTTCCTCCTGCCTCCCGCTCCTCCCAATACCTCCGCCCGCCTCCTGCTTTTCGCCTCCTCCACCTCTGACCGTTCCTGCCTCCTTTTATCTCCTCATCTGGTCTCTTTTTTGCTCCTCCTGCTCCTCCTCCTGCCCACCCCCTCCTCGTGCCTTCTGCTGCTCCTTCCTTTTCCTGCTGCTCCTCATCGTGCATTGCCTTGCTGCCCCCCTTTCCTGCTCCTGCCCCCCCCATCCTCCTCCTCATTCTGCTGCTTTTCCTTATCCTCCTCCTCCTCCTCCTCCTCCTTCTCCTCCTTCCCATCCCCCTGCTCCTCCTGCCCCACTGCTCTTCTCCTCCTCCTCGTGCCTTCTTGTCCTCGTCATCCTGCTCCTCCTCCTCCTCCTCCCGCCTGGGTTCCCTCCCTCCCTCCCTCCCACCCGGGTTCCCAGGAGGGTGGGTCGGGTCGGGCAGGGTCCTCTCTTCCTCCTCTTTCCTCCTCTCCCTCGGGGTGGCTTCCTCTCCCCCTTCCTGTCGCCGTCCCGCACCTGCGTCGTGCGTCGACATGGCAGCGTAGGAGGGATCGGACGAGCCCCGGGCAGGATCCCCCCTGCCTGGCCCCCACCGCCCCGCGGGGAATCCCTGAGGTGCCTCTCCCGCTTCGCGCCTGGCCGGGGGTGGAGTCGGAGTCAGTCGGGGCGGTTTTTCGGCAGGGGTGCCTGTTCCTCTTGGGGCCTGCCTGTGGGCCCTTCGGCTGCGGGGCCCGAGGTTCCTTCTTTCTCCGGGCTCCGTCTCCGCCGCCGAAGTTCCGACAGCTCCCCATATCGTCCCCTCCAGCGCTGGTGGCTTGGCTTCCAAAGCCGACGCAGCACGGACGCTCCCGAGCCCCCCCCAGGCCGTGGCACCATGCTGAAAACGAAGCTGCATCCAGAGGTCGCGAAAGCCGGCTCAATGGGAGCACCACCAACCAACCAACCCCTGCTCCTCCTGCCCCACTGCTCTTCTTCTCCTCCTCCTCCTCCTCCTCCTCCTCCTCCTCCTCCTCCTCCAGTTTCTCCTCCTCCTCCTCTTTTTTTCTCCTCCTTTTTCTCCTCTTTCCTCCTCCTCTTTCCTCCTCCTCCTCCTCCTCCTCCTCCTTCTCCTCCTCCCCCCCTTTTCCGTCATTTTGCCTCCTCCTTTTCCGCCTTCTCGTGCCTCCTTCCCTCCCGCATTCCCTCCTCCTCCTTCTCCTCCTCCTCTGGCCTCCCCCTCCCCCGGCTCCCTCTCTCTGTTGCTCTCTCGTTGTTGTTTTTTGTTGTTTCTCTCTCTCTCTCTCTCTCTCTCCCCCCTGCCTCTAGCCACGCGTGGCTCCCGCGCGGAATCCTAAGCTCAAGCTCGACCAGCGCCACTGCAGCGAAAAAAGGCAATCCAACAACTTTGGGCGTGTGGTGTAGGCAGACGTGTGTGTTTCAATCTTCTCTGAACCTCCCAAAACCACGCTTGGCTCTCACGTGGAATCTCAAGTTCAAGCTCGTGTGGTGGTCATCGACATATGCGCTTCAACCCTTCCTGAACCTCCAAGAACCACGCGTGGTTCTCACGCAGAATCCTGAGCTGAAGCTCGAACTTAGGTCTCAAACTTCACGCATGCTCTTTTGAAGCTTGGCGCCCCGCCGTGCGTTCCAAAGGCGAAAACCTTGATTGGCCCCCATAGTGACCATTTTCAATGACGGAAGTGCCCCGTTGGAAGACAACCGTGTGAAGAAGAGGAAAGAAGCAGAGAGAGGAGAAAAACTGGGAGGCGGAGGAGAAAGATATCGATAACTGCTGCCCAGCCTGAAGCAACACATGGATGATGAGGAGGAGGAGCAGGAGGAGGAGGAGAAGGAAGAAGAGGCGGATCAGATGGAGAAGGGAGGGAACAGTAGGGAGGAGGAGGAGGAGGAGGAGGAGGAGGAGGAGGAGGAGGAACATTGACGTGAAGCGGGTACACTGGCCAGCGGCCCCGGCGCCGCGGGGCCTCGCGGTCCCCGCCTGCGTTCCCTCCTCCAGCTGGTCGCGGCGGGGATCGGGAGTTTTCCTGCGTCGGGTGCCGGGTGGGGACATGGGCAGGGACTCCTCCTTCCCCCATCGTTGCCTCGGTCCTCTTCCTCCGTCCTCCGATGCCCTCCTACTTCTCCTCCTCCTCCTCCTCCTCCTTTTACTCCTCCTCCTCCTCCTCCTTCCTGTCCTCCCCCTGCCTCCTCTTGCCTCTATCCTTCCTCCTTTTTCCCTCCTCTGGCGGGCGCGCCTGGACCAGGAGTTCTCCTGTCCCGAGGGCCAAGGAAAGGTGGACGAAAGGGCCGCGTCGTGAAGAAATCGGCAATTTCTGGTTCGCGGAGCCCTGGCCAACGAACCGCCGCGAAATTTCGGGATGAAAAGCTGGCCCTTGCTGATCGGGAGGGGGCGGATTTGCATTGAAGCGTGAAACGTTTCGAGGAGAGGTGGGACTACCACTGGTAGACTATTGAGAATTGGGGGAACCAAGGCCTTGCCGCGTTGAAACACATAAGGAAACGACGGGGGGGGAGCACTCATCCTCCCTCATACCTCATCCTCCTCCTCGTCCTTATCCTTCTCCCTGCTGTTTGTTTTGTTTCCCTATCTCTCTCTCTCTCGTTTTTTATTTTCTCTTTCTCTCTCTCTCTATCCCTCTTTCTCTCTTTCTCTTCCTCGGCCTTGATGGCGTTCCGACGCGGGCATTCCCCTCCAGGGTCGGTCGACCCTGCGGGGGGTGCTCCAACTGGTTTGCCAGGAGTCTCTCGTGGATCACCGGCGGTGGTAGAGATATGGAGAACAAATGCATCAGACAATGAGGAGGAGAGCGGACTGGAGCGGGGAATGTGCGAAGCGAAGGGGGGATAGGTCGTGGCGGCGCGCAACTGGGTCTGGCAGTGGAGTTCGCCGTCGTTCTACAACCCACTGGTGGGTGAGACAAGGGGGTACGGAGAGGCCCACTGAAGCAACTTGGCGGCAAAAATGCCCTGGCAAGGCTGGCCGGCAACATCCCCCCACCACCACACAACACCGCGCGTGATCCTCCCCGCCGCCTCCGCCTTCCGCTTCATGTTTCCCCCATCGTACTGAAGGACCGCATCCCAGAAATAATTACGAGCACCCCGAAAAGTGTCGAAAAAGTATCGAAACAGTGTCGAGCGAATGTCTCCCAAGGCCCGACACGTGAAAACCATCGAGCTTCTGGTTCGCTCGAAATTATTCCTGGTGATCCGGGCTGAAGCAGGCACGAACATCTTGAATTCTGCTGGACATGGGCGGTGAGACAGAGTAGGCTGCCCGCCGCGCGCGGCCCGGGCCCGCCAAGGGCCCCGGGGTTTGGCGCTTCATCCCCAGCCTCCATTCCGTCTCGGCACTGTTGTTGTACAGTCGGGGTGGACTGGAGAGGACATGCGACAGGACACAAGACCCTTCCGATGGCCACATTGCCAGTGGAACGCAGAGGGCATGGGTCGCGAAACACAGGACACAAGGGTACCCTTATTAGGGTAGGGTCGACCTACTAATCATACTCGACTGTAAGTCTTTTCGGGTTTCGAACCAACCCTCTGCCGCAAGGGTGTGGCTCAAAGTGCAAGCGTTCGTGAACGCTCGAGGCTGTGCTGCCTCCTCAGGTCTCTACTGCTGGGCAGGCCGCCTGCAGTGAGACCAAGAAGGCGCGGGCGGGTGGCTGTGGAAAAGGCTGGCATGCGATTCTGGGCGGCGGAGGCCGTGCTACGTCCCATGGTCTCTGCTGCTGTGCAGGCCGCGCACGTTGAGACGGTGGAGGACACGACGAGTCGTCAGAGGAGAGAAGGGAGAGAGGTCACAATCGTCGGAGTAACTTGGCGACGTGGTGGCAACATCTGTGGAGGCTGAGGCTGAGTGGCTGGCTAGCGGGCGCGAGTGCGGCTTGGCGTCGGGCAGCGTTGGCGTTCGCTTTGGCTTCGGCGACTGCAAGATGAGCGGGTGAACAGTTGCCGAAGGGCATGCCTCCATCCCCCCCTCCTCCACGTCCAACCCCCGAGTCCCGATCCCTATCAGGCAACGGCGCGGGTGGGCGATGGGGGTGAGGGGAGGCCCTGCCGGAACGGCCGCCACGACGGCGGAGCCCGGTGGAAGGGGAACGGAGGATGCAGTGAGAAGAGGGGGCGGGAGACGGCCATCATCGTCGGAGCAACTTGGTGACGCGCTGGCAGAAAAGTGTCGCGGCTGGATTGGCTGGCTAGCGGGCGCGAACTGCAGGAACCCCTGCCGACGTCGGCGTTCGCGTTGGCGCTGAAGGCTTGCGAGCTAAGCGGTGCTTGCGGTCGGGCGTGCCTCCTCACCCCTGATCCCCCCCACCCCGCCCCCGTCCCATATGAGGAGGAGGAGGAGGAGGAGGAGGAGGAGGAGGTCAGCGGGACAAGTGAACAGCGGCGGAATGCAGAGTGGGCGGACCGGGGGCGAAGGAAAGGTTGGTAAAGAGACTGCGCTCTCCTGTGGTTTCCTGGTCCTCGAAGCCGCCGCGATGCACGCGGCAGACACAGCCTCAAAACGTCTCGCCGTCGAGGTAGTCGGCAGTCTTGCGGCCATCCGCTGGGGTGGCGTAGCGGACTGTGGCGCGCCCGCTCAGGACCTCCATGGAGGTGACGACACGGAGCACACTGTTCGGAGCTCCGTCCGCGTTGGGCACTGTGATTGTGTGACCATCTGCGGTGCGGTCAGCGGCGGCCTCGGCTCCCCTCGGCGCCACGACCATGGGGCGGGAGCGGGTCGTCCGGCGCCGCTGGCTCCGAGCCGTGCGGCAGCTCATCCGCCCGGTCGGCCCTCCAATCCTCGGCGGCCTCGCCGACGTCTGGCGCAGGACCGGCGGTCAGCGCTCGGCGCTTCTGCGCTCTGGGAAAGGGCGAAGCGGCCGCACTCGTGAAAGACTCCTTGGAAGGGCCCGTCCTGCCGGCCTTTGCGACGCGCGTATTCCGGTGGCCCGGGTTCTTCTGGAGGCCTCCAGGGACGTGTACATGCAAACGAAGCCCTCCCTCTCGCAGGCCCCTGGAGCGTTTCCGGAGGTTTTCCGGACCTCTGGAGCTACTCGGTGGTCTTCGGGGCTCTTCCGAGGCTCCCCGGAGGTCATCGGAGACCCCGGGTGCATTCCATTCTGCTCCCTCGCCTTGCCTCCGCACCGCTCTCCGTTCCTATCCACCCACCCCATTATCCCACGTACCTTCCCAGTCTTTTCCCCATCATTCCCATGTTTTCATGTTCACTTCTTTCCTGCTCGGTTGGACACTTCCTCAAATACTCGCACTCCTACACTCTTCCCCAGTCCACCCCATCCCACCCCAATCATATCCACCCCTTCCCACTCGCAGTCCGCACTTTTCCCAGCTTCTTCCCAGTCCCTCCTCTCCAGATTCCTCTGTGCCCCTCCCTGCTCCTCCGCACTTATCCCAGTTCCTCTTCTCCAGTCCTTGCCACTCCACCTCCCGAGACCCTACTCTTGTTTACTCCACCCCACTCCACTCCACATCCCCGCGCAACTCCCCACACGGTTGCAATTCTCAGTATCCCCCGCGCTCCACTTCTCACCCAGTTCGCTGCTGTATGTCCCCCTGCGGGGGTATGCACGATATGTCTTGTTTTGTTGGTCAAGGAGTTAGTGCACGACCTGTTTATGGTGCGATGCATGGCGAAACCTGTTGTTGACCTGTGTTGGAATGGCTGGCGCAAACCATGGGGAAAACTGAATCGCAACTGACGGCACAAATCATCGTCGTCCCTCCACCTTGCCCCTGTCCTCCCTCCCTTCCTCTGATCCCTTCGTCCTCTTTCTTTCTCCTGCCCCCTTCGACGTTCCTGTTTAGGAGTTGTTTCAAATTACGCGTGGCAGGAAAGGAACATAACCCCCATAAAGGGGGTACAACCAAAGACGAAAAAGGAGGGCATCCAGAGTTCGAGGTAAGCATGGTGACTGGCGCGCGAGCAGAATAGAGCGAACATACTTAAACAAATGATGTGTGGTTGTTGCTTTACCTGTGATTGTTGTTGTTGGCGTTGTTGCTTCAGTTAGTATAGAGATTGTGTTTTCTGCTGTTGTTACTGGCTGCTTTGTAGTTGTATCTGTAGTTGTTGTTGTTCGTCTTGTTGAACTTGTATTGGAATAAGGTCTGTGGTCACCAAGCTGCGGCCCTGGCCCGTGGTTTACAGCAACAGCGGCTCCCGCCTGATATTCCCTCACAATTTTCTCAAGTTCGCGCTCTCGCGCGGGACGTCCTCATACTTTGTCCAACAATCTCGTTCTCGCGTGGTATTTCCACACAATGTATCGCGGCGCCGTGCCCCCCCCAAGACTCACCAATGACGCTCTCGCTCTGCGCTTCCGAACGACTTGCTTGCGAATCGCGTTATCACCTGAAGCTTCCTTCATGATAGGTTGACGTTTTAGCGACCCGCCCGCTCGACCTGGCCGTCTGGGCCCGCCCACCCGACCTGCAAACTCAAGCACGCCCATCCGACACGCCAGGTTGGTATTGCCGCTTGCGCTGCTGCTCATGACCATCCTCCTGCGGTTCCTCCCTTTCTCCCCGTGTTCTAGAGGCTGTGCCAACTACGCGCGGAAGGTAAGGAATCGATACCCCCCAAAAGGGGCACGACCGAAAATGATGGGGGCGGGTACCGAAGTTTAGGATCGACGCTTGCAATGACTCACGAAATGATAAAAAGAAAACGAACAGTCGTACATTGGTTGATGTTGTTGTTGCTGCAGTTGCAGTTCCTTTTTTTTTGGGGGGGGGGCTTTCGTTTTTGAAACATACGTATTGTTGATCCCCTCTCTGGTAACCATTGTGTTGTATGAGTTGAGGGCCCCCCCACCCCCTCGGGGCACGCACCCTGCTCTTAGTCAGGGAACACGTGGTGTCACCAAACGGCGCTCTTGGCCCCCGAACTAGAGCAACAACGGCTCCCGCCTGCTTCTTCCTCACAACATATTCCAAAAACGCGTTCTCGCGCGCGGAACGTCCACATAAACTATGCAGGATCCGCGCGCTCGCGTGTGGGACACCCGTCAATCTATTCAGACGCCGCACCCTCGACACTCAAGGATCACGCTCTCGCTTTGACCTTTCTCACGATGTATTTTGGGAATCGCGCTATCGCTCGAGATCTCCTCGCGAGTCCTGCAAGAATCACGCTTCAGCGACACGCCTTCTCGACCTTGCCGCTTGGACCCGCCTTCCCGACCCGCCCGTTAGGGTCTAACCTCCCGATGAGCCCGCCTGGTTCTGCCACGTGCTTTGTGCTCCTAGGCCTCCTGCTGCTAGTCCCGTGCTCCAACCTTTTCCCCCCCCCTTCCCTTCCATCCGGCCTCTCTTCCCCCGTTTCAGGGGCTGCGCCAATGTCTCGCGGCGGATAAAGAAAGATATGGCCCAGGGGTGCGATCGAAGACGAAGAAGGCGGGTACCGCGGCTGTGGGATATACGTGTTGAGTGACACTCGGGCAGGTAAAAGCGAACAGCCTTCAAAATATTGTTGTTGCTGCTTCTGTTGTTGAATTCTTACTCCTGAAGATCATGTATTGCTAATCCCCCCTCCGGATTAAAGTCCTCCTCCCAGGGCCCGCATCTTGTTTTTGACAAGGGGCAGCGAGGTGTCACCAGATTGGGCCTCTGACCTCCGAGTGACAACAACAACGGCTCTGGCCCGATACTTCCTCACAACGTATTCCAAAATCGCGCTCTCGCGCGGGACGTCGACACAAGTTATGCAGGATTCGCGCGCTCGCGTGATCACGCTCTCGCTTGGCCTTTCTCACGATGTATTTTGGGAATCGCGCTATCGCTCGAGATCTCCTCGCGAGTCCTGCAAGAACCACGCTTCAGCGACACGCCTTCTCGACCTTGCCGCTTGGACCCGCCTTCCCGACCCGCCCGTTAGGGTCTAACCTCCCGATGAGCCCGCCTGGTTCTGCCACGTGCTTTGTGCTCCTAGGCCTCCTCCTGCTAGTCCCGTGCTCCAACCTTTTCCCCCCCCCTTTCCATCCGGCCTCTCTTCCCCTATGTCAGGGGCTATGCCAATGTCTCGCGGCGGATAAAGAAAGTATGCCCTCAGAAAGGGCACTGTCAAAAACAAAGAAAACGGGTACAGAGGATTTGGGATATACGTGTTGAATGGCACGTGATCAGGTAAAAGCGAGCAGTCTTAACATGCTTGTTGTCCTTGCTGCTGTTGCTGGAAGGGCTGCTGCGGCGGTCCCCCGAAACGCCTGAATGTGCGCCGAATTTTCGCATAAGTGCAGCTGACGCCGGGGCGCGAGCGCAAATGCTGAGGTAGGGAGTCCAACCGTAGCAATATGTTGACAGCCGAGGTTCAACAGGGACAAGGGCAGCCGAAGCCTCAGGGCCTCTGGGAGTCTCGGACGGGAACGGAGGAAGCATCGAGAGAGGGAACGCCGTTGTCTGGAGGGGGGCCGCTTGCGGGGCCGAGGCGGAAGCGCCGGTACTGAGTAGACAGCAGGGACATGTCGAGTGGGAGCGCCGATTGTGAGAAAGCCAGCTCTCGGCGGCGAGCAAGATCCCCGGTCCCGAGTGGGAGAGGGCTATCCAGCGGGAGCACTGCTGTTGTTGGGTGGGGCGCTGCGGCGGTTCCCCAAAACGCCTGAACCTGAACCTGATTGTCAAAGGAAATGCAGCCGGCGCCAAGGCGAGAGCGCCAGGGCGGATGTAAGGTGTCCAACAATAATGCATGTTAAGCAAGTGAAGGTTCATCCAGCCGCCTCGATTTGTTCCGAAACACCAGACCTCGGAAGATAAACAACAAGATCTTTTCTCATATTTTCTCCGACCCGTCGCCGCTAGTGCATCGGCGATGCCCGTAAGTGACCTAGATCCTCGGACCCAATCTGCTCCGTCCCCTCCCTTGAAAGCCTGGAGCCCTGACGTCCACCGGCCAGAGGTTTTGGGGTGAGACGGAGTGAGACGGAAAGATCCCCTCCGGGAAATCGGTTTCGGCTTTGGGCTCGTGTCGTGCATGCGGGCGAGGCGAAGCTGCGTGGGCGGGCAAGAAGAATCACACCGCCGTGGCTAGGGCGGGTCAAGATGAAAGACAGGCCGGCGTGGCCAGGGGTGTCCCGCAGTGGTGTCCCGGCGTGGTGCCCGCCGTGGTCTCCCGACGGTGTCCACGGGCGGAGGTCGGGGTTGTCCCGCCGTGGTGTCTCGTCGATGTCCCGGTGTCCTGGCAAAATCCCGTCGGTGCCCCGTCGGTGTCCCGCCTGTGCCCCGTCAGTGTCCCGTCGGTGTCCCGTCGATGTTCCGTCGGTGTCCCGTCGGTGTCCCGTCGGTGTCCCGTCGGCGTCCCGTCGGCGTCTGGTCGGTGTCCCGTGGTGGTGTTGTCCCGTCGGTATCCCGCTGTCGGTGTCCCGCTGTCGGCGTCCCGCTGTCGGTGTCCCGCTGTCGGTGTCCCGCTGTCGGTGTCCCGTCGGTGTCCCGATTGGTGTCCGTGGGTGTCGCGATTGGTGTCCCGATTGGTGTCCCGACTGGTGTCCTGATGGTGCCCTGGTGGTGTTTCGATGATGTCTCGATGGTTTCCCGGTGGTGTCCGCATAGGTGCCCCGACTGGTGTTCCGATGGTGTCCTGGTGGTATCCAGGTGTTATACCAATTGGCGTTTCGATTGGTATCCGGGCGGTGCCCTGGTGGTGTCCTGATGGTGTCCCGATGTGTCCCGGACGGTGCCCCGATGGTGTCTCGATGGTATGGCGATGCCGAGATAGTGCCCCGATCGAATCGAGGTGGTTTCCAGGATTGCTAGTGAGATCGGTCGTCAAACTTGGGGGTGAGATCGAAGAGAACTGGAGACGACAAACGGTTCACCACAACCTGGCACGGGGTCGATAGCGAGACCGATGGAACGAAACAGGTAAAGACATCGGTCAAATGAGATCGGAAACTGAGATCGATTGGCAACATCCGATAGGGACATCGCCCGCTAGCCACGGGATCGGCGGGGCGACTCACAGTGAGTATGCCAGTATGTCAGCCCACTGCCATCATGCATTGTCGTCACCATCATCGTCTTGCATCGTCTCCAACTCGTGAGCGCATCACCGGCATCGCCGCCATCACAATCATCGCAGTTGCTCTCAGTTAGTTCTTTCCCTCCACAACCTCACAACCTCCTTATCACCCGAAGGGTGGTCGTATAGGTATGCATTTCTGTCCGCGGCTCCAAAAATCTGGCCCACGTACTCAAACATGTGTTTTTGTCCCGGATCCATACTTGATGGCCCCTGGACTCGAAAACGTCCCCGCGAGCCGAAATCGAAGAGAAACGCCAGGATTGGAAAAATCATACCCTATGAGATCTGGGAAATTCCAGATGGAGTTCGAATAGATTGAGTCGGAGGATCGCATCGCGTAGCTCATGTATCGCCGACGCATCGGCGATGCATCGGCGACGTCGGCGGTGCATCTGCGACGCCAGGGTGGAGAAAATCGGAATCCTCCGACCCTGTCGACTCTGACCCCATGCCAGAATAGAACAAATCATATCGTCGAAGATCTTGGAGGCGAGGAGGAAAACAATTTGAATCTGACACAAAGGACAAAAACCGACCGTTCCCAAATCCGCCGATCCGACGTGAGAGTTTCAAAAGTCTCAGCTGAAGCTCTGCTTCAGCATGAGCTTTAGCTCTGCTTGGGAGGGGGGGGGGACCTCATTAACGAATTCAATGCTCGGCACCTCCCCCCTGCCAGCACCCCCCCCCTCGATTTCGCCTCCCCCCCCCCGGAGTTTTGCTCTGCAAAGGTGAGGGCAGGAGACGGGGGGGGGGGGGGCGCTCTGCCAGGGGGGGGGCTGCAAAGGGGGGGGGGCCCTCTCAGGCGGGAGCGAGAGCTGCAGGGAAAGGCGGGAGGGTCCGCTTTGCAGATGGGCGGCAAGGGGAGGGGGGGGGGACAGGAGAGAGGGGGGGGGGGACAGAAGAGAGGGAGAGGGAGAGGGGGGGGGGTGGACAGGAGAGAGGGGGGGGACAGGAGAGAGGGGGGGGGGTCAGGAGAGAGGAGGGGGGTGGGGGGGGGCCGGGATCATCATCATCTCCATCACCATCACCATCGTCAAATCACCATCACCATCATCATCGTCGTCCATCATCATCATCATCATCATCATCATCATCATCATCATCATCATCATCATCATCATCATCATCATCATCATCATCATCATCATCATCATCAACATCATCAACATCAGCATCAACATCATCCGGAGCGCCCCGGATCGGCGGCACTGGGTGGAGGCCACTACAATGCCGAGCGCGACCGATACCGACCGCAACACGTCGTTGCCGATGTCTGCGCGGCAAGGGCCGGCAATGGTCATGAACTACCGTTCGGTCCCCGACTGTCCTCGGCACTGGAATCGAAGAGAGGCGCCGGGAGAGACCGAATCGAATCGCCAGAGGTCTGGGAGAGGAAAGGGGGGGGCAGCCCGGAGGCGGCGACCGCGCCCGCGGGGTCCTTCCGCGCCCGCACGGCAGGGCCCAACATGCCCGCCTCGCGGACCTGCTTGAAGGCCCGCCAGCGCCCACGCAGAGCCTCTCCGGGGGGGGGAGGGGCAGAGTTGAAGCAGACCCCAGGATTCCAAGTGCGTTTGCATATTTTGTGGACTCTCGTCTTCCCCTCCATGTGCCATGCTTTGTCATATGTTCCTGGTCATCAACGTAGATTTGTGTATGTGCCTGGAGGCAGTCGCCAGGGGAGCGAAAGAGCAGCCACACTCTTACACGTGGCACATGGCATCCTCCCGCGGCCCTGACATCCTCGCGTCGTGAACAAAACCAAGACGGGAGATTTAGCGACATGTCGGCAACTGGACTCAAAAAACAATTCGCTGGGCCCAGTGAACCACAACAAAAAAGCAACTCGGGATTAAGACCTGGTGCGGGATAATGGGTCGAGACCTCTGGGAGGGGGCTCACGACGTAAACAAAAGAAACATCACATCGAGGGTCTAGGAATGCGGAATGCGGGTTCGCTGGGGTCGGGGTGTACTGTTCGCGCCTTGCTTGCAGTTGTAACTCATCATCAAAATTGGGAGCCCGATGTCTCTGGCCCAGCCTCGGAGGGGGGAAAGGGGCGAGGTAGGGGTAGAGTGCGATGTCTTTCCCGATTGTTGAGTGGGGTCACGAAGACAAGTTCACCGATATTACCTCCAAGGGCCATGCAAGAATTGAAGAGTTCGAAGTTCAATGACATATGTTCTGTAACGTCGACCTGCTCAGCTCCACACTCTGGAATCTCTTGCTGGCTTGAGGTTGGCCTCGGTCAAACAACTCGCTGGAAACGCATGATACATCATAGTACAACCGCGTTGTCGGTTACGTACGGAAGAACTCTATCAAATTGCGCCTCCTATCCACCTATGACAGAATAATCTGCCGTCAACAGATGTAAGGGTAGTGGTCAAGGCATTGATGACGCTGCTGTGAGGGAAGGGAACATCGACAATGCACTGGCCATGCTGGTGGGCAAACGTCAGTTGCTGGTCGGGAGACCGAACATCGAACGTCCCATTGCATGGCGCGCGCTGGTTAGTCAACATCCCCTCGGTAACCTAGAGCTCCTGATAGTAATCTCCTGGGAATATAAAGTTCGGGGTCCAAGAGGGATACTAAACGTTCGCCCAGAGATCGCAGCAGAAGGACGAAGATGATGACGATGATAATGATCCAGATTACCATGCACGTCCATAAGAATCCTTAAGACATTCATAAGGATTCCTTTCGGAAATCCATGAGATTCCTTCGGAAATCCAGAGGAATCCTTAGGAAACCAATCGGTTTCCTTAGGAACTGCTCAGGAACCTCTCAGGAAATCAACAAGATGAGGATAAGGAGGAGCCCCCGGACTGGCTTTAGAAAAAAACTTCGGTTCGGTACCTTAGGCCTTTAATGTGTAAAACTCAACTCTTTTGGATCATGTTGAATAGCGCATGTGTAGAGGAATTCCATGGCGGCTCATTTGCGATGATCAACAACGGAGATAAACAAGTGTGGGCTGGGCGCGCAATAAGGAGAAGGACATGTACACGATTCCTGATGAAATCAAACAGATCCCTTAAGACAATCAAAGAATCCCTTAGGACATCCATAGGATTCCTTAGGACATCCATCGGATTCCGGGGGAAATCCAAAGGAATCCTTAGGACATCCGCGGGATTCCTTGGGACATCCACAGGATCCTTTCGGAATTCATTAGAAAACCCTAGGGATCCTTGCTACTCAACATCAGGAGCGAGGAACTTCGATTCGCACCTTCCCCCCCCGATTATCAAAATCGGCCTTGCAGCCCCCCTTCCCCGACCAAATCCGTATTGGCCAAGGGTAATCAAATCTCAAGGGTTCAGGGGGGGTCCATGATTATCCGGGGGATGCGGTCAGTCATCCTCGCTTCCCGTGCTGGTTCCTCTGAAGACGCCCCTCCTCATTTCCTCCTCCTCCTCCTGTCTCCTCCTCCTCCTTCCTCTCTCTGTCTCCTCCTCTCCTCCTCTTCCTGTCTCCTCCTCCTGTCTCCTTTCCTCTGGTTCCCCTCTCCTCCTCCTCCTTTTCCGCGTCCTCCTCGAACAAGCCCACTGGATGCTGACACAGCCCAGCGTGATCAGAACTGTCCACGGCACGGCTCGGTAACAGCATTGATAAGGAAACACCTGCAGCCGCAGTCGGCCTGTGCGAAGAACGAGGAGGAAGGAGGGGGAAGAAAGATGAGGTACAACGGCAAGCGGAGGAGGAGGACGAGGACTGGGAAGAGAGTGAGGACAAGCAGGCGGGAAGATCGAGAAGGTGGTGGCGCACTCGAAGTTTATCTCGGATGCGACGAACAGCTCACCATGACGCGACGCATGTGCGCGGAGCAGGTTGAACGAAGTGTTGAAGTCTGCAAGACGTCATGGCCCAGGCCATGATAGCCACACACCCACTCCTCGCCCCTTGGACGGCCCCGACAGAAGACGAAAGCAAATAAAGAAGGCCTGGATGAAAAACAACTATCAACGGAAATGGTGGTGTTCAAGTCATAACTCTGGCCCCTGGCGGCCGTTCGGGACGAGCCTGGCACCCGTGGAACGCCCTCGGCGAGGCACAACTTGTGGGAAACAGCCTGAAGCACGAGAAACCTCAGGGGGCAGCGAGATCTTCCGAAAGGGATTGCCCAACAACGCCACAGAGAGCACCGCGGGTTCGTGTCGTGTCGACCCCAGCGTTGCTTCCTGACTCCGCGGGAATCGTTCAACCTTGAACGATCGGCCGTTTCCAAAAACGTTAGATATTTAAACATCGATCGATTCTGGGTCGCGGGCGGCGTTCAACATTTCACGCCGGCGGCGGGGTCGCCGCCGGTCGGCACGACTCGAACCTACCGCAGCACGGCCGCCCTACGAAGCGGCCGCGCGCGCCCTTGCGGCGTCGCCTGCTCGGCGGGCCCGCGCAGACTGGCCGGGAGGCCCCCTGCGGCCACAGCAGCTGCCCCTCCCCAGCGCCAGAGCCTGCATGGGGAGTATCGGGTCGGGCGAAAGGGGGGGATAGCAAAGGGGGGGGGTTGAGAATCAGCTCACGTAGCTGATTTTCCCGGCGCCTCCCGGCGCCGGAGGCGGATATGTATCGAGGAATGGGCCCCTCGGTGAGGCCGAAACCAGGTGCATGCAGCAAATTTCGTACCCCCCCCTTTCCCAATCCCCCCCTTTCGTCCGGCCCGAGAGTAGGGCCTGTCGCAGGTAAGGTGTCTAACAGAGAGGAAGTTCGATCAAGAATGCGAATCCGCCGGCCCCCTTGTGGGGCCACCAGGCTGTAGGACGAAGTTGCTGCTCCCTGCTCCAGTTGCAGTTTCAAGTCACCTACGTTACAATCCTGCGTTCTGCTTCCTGTTGTAAATTGTTTAAGTCCGCGCGAGGGGGGTGAGCCCCAAACCAACCAATTATGCCTGAATTGGGAGAAATACATGTTGTTCGCGCCCACGAGGCCCTTCTCCGTAGTAAATGACGCAATGTTTGCGCCCCCGAGGCCACACACCCTCGCAAACAAGTGGCACGCGTGCCCTGGCTCTTGCACAAAGGAGCTGCGAAGGACTGGGGGCCCACGCCTCCTTCTTTCAGGAGGGGGTCCAGCCGGTGTAAATGTTGATCACAAATTCAATTTTCATAAGGTTCGGGGGCAAGGGGGCCTCGGGGGGGGCCGGCGGGCCAGGGAGGGGGGGCCGATGGGGACGAACCACCACAACACTACCAAAATAAAGGATTCCGCGGCCCAGGGAGGCTGCCCTAGGGGGGGGGGGGCAGGGGAGCTGGGGCTCAGGCTCAGGGGAGGGGCCGAGGGGGACGAACCACGACGAACCGCGAACCACGACGAAAATAAAAGGTTCCACGGCCCAGGGGGGCTGCCCTGGGAAGCCTGGACGGAGCAAGCCTCCCAAGGGTGGGTGGCCCAGGGGAGCTGGAGCTCAGGCTCAGGCGAGGGGTCAAGAGGGAGCCCAGGGGAGCTGGGGCTCAGGCTCAGAGGAGGGGCCGAGGGGGACGAACCACGACGAACCACGAACCACGACGAAAATAAGGATGTCGGCGGCGGCCCAGGGGAGCTGTCCTGGGAAGCCTGGACGGAGCAAGCCTCCCAAGGGTGGGTGGCCCAGGGGAGCTGGGGCTCAGGCTCAGGGGAGGGGGCGAGGGGGACGAACCACCACGAACCACGACGAAAAGAATGGGTTCCGCGGCCCAGGGGGCTGCCCTGGGAAGCCTGGACGGAGGAAGGCTCCCAAGTGTGGGTAGCTCAGGCGCTTCCAAAAAGGCAGGGGGCGGCGGTGACTCGCCGTAGGCGTCTTCGATCCGCCGCCCCCTGTCGATTCATCGCAGGGGTGCCTGGCGTGCTGAACCCTTTCGCTTTTGGTTCCCTGAAAAAAAAAACAACTCCCTGGGGCTTCGGCCCGTCCCGCCGGCCAAGGCCGCGTAAACCACCCCAACGTCCACAACAAGTTCTCCAAGACGGCTCAAGATGGCCTCTAAGATGGTCACGTTGGCCCAAGGTGGCCTTCAAGATGGAACAAGATGGCAACCCGAGAGAGTCCAAGAAGCCTCCAAGTTCGCACAAGAAGCCTCCAAGACGACCCAAGATGGCTCCAAGATGGCTTAAGACTGGCCAAGAGGCCCCAAAGAGGCCTCCAAGACGCCTCCAGGAAGGCCCGAAAAGGCAACAATCATTGATGTTCCGCAAGTTTTTGAAAGATTTTCGAATTTTCTTCTTATCAGCTCTCCGACGGCCAAAGACGGCCCAAGAGGCCCAATCATCGTCCCAAGAGCGCTCAAGAGGCCTCCAAGATGGCCCCATGACAGCCCATGAGGCCCCCAAGAGGGCACAAGATGGCCCCGAAGACGGCGAAAACGGCCTCCAAGACGGCCAGGATGGCCTCCAAGATGCCTCCAAGACGGCCTGCGCCCAAGATGGCCCCAGATGGCCTGAAGATGGCCTTCGACTGCCCGAAAGGCCCGCAAGAGGCCTCCAAGACGCGGCCCAAGACCCCTCCAAGACGTCCTCCAGGAATGCCCGAAAGCTTGGAAACCACCTGGTCCGATAGCTCGCCCGACTCCGTGTTCCCCGAAGGCTTTCGAAACTCACTCGGGGAACGCGTGGCCCGATAGCTTTGCCAAGCTCAAACCCAACTTTCGGCCACGCAGGCGCTTCCAAAAAGGCAGGGGGCGGCGGTGACTCGCCGTAGGCGTCTTCGATCCGCCGCCCCCTGTTGATTCATCACAGGGGTGCCTGACGTGCTAAACCATATCGCTCTTGGTTTTGGTTCTTCTTCCCAAAGAACTTCCCCCTGAGGCTCCGGCCTGTCCCGCCGGCCACCCGGAAGGCGCCCAATTCTCAACAACAAATTCCACAGATGGCCAAGATGGCCTCCGAGATGGCTACGATGGCCCGAAGATGGCTTCAAGACGGCCCAAGATGCAGCCAAGACGGCCCAAGATAGCCTCAAGATGGCCCAACACGGCCCAAGAGGCATCCAAGAGGCCTCCAAGACGGTCGAAGAGGCCTCCAAGAGGTACCCAAGGAAGGCTCGAAGAGGCCAAAAGCATTGATCTTCCCCAGGTTATTGAAGGATTTTGGCATGTGCTTCTTTTCCATCTTCCGACGGTCCGAGACGGCCCCAGAGCCCCCAAGATCGCTCAAGAGGCCTCCAAGATGGTCCCAGAACGGCCCAAGAGGCACCCAAAACTGCCCCAAGACGGCGCCAAGACGGCCCACGAGGCCTCCAAGGCGCGCAAGGTGGCCTCCAAAACGGCCCTGGAGCACCCCAAGAGGGCCCAAGTCGGTCCAGAGAGGCCCTCAAGACTGCTGCGGAGGGCGTCAGACGGGCCAGGAGGCCGCCAAGACGGCCCAAGATGGCTCGAAGATGGCCCAAGACAGCGCAAGAGGCCCCCAAGAGGTCTCCAAAACGGCCCAAGAGGCTTCCAAGAGGTCCTCCAGGAAGGCCTGGAAGAGGCCCAAATCGTTGATTTCCTCAAGGTTATTGAAGGCGTTTGGCATTTATTTCTGTTCGGCCTTCCGACGACGGCCCAAGATCTCCCAAAGGTCGCCCCAAGATCGCCCAAGAGGCCTCCAAGAGGTCTCCAAGACGGCCAAAGAGACTCCCAAGAGATCCCCAAGACGGCCCCAGAGGCTCCCAAGAGGGTCTCCAGGAAGGTCCGAATATGCCAAACTCATTGATTTTCTTTAGGTGTTTGATAGATGTTGGCGTTTGCTTCTTTTCCATCTTCTGACGGCCCGAGACGGCCCAGGAGCCTTTAAATATCGCCCCAAGATCATCCACGAGGCCTCCAAGATGGCCCCAGAACTCCCCAAGAGGCCCCCAAGACGGTCCCAAGAGGGCCCCAAAACGGCCCAAGAGGCCTCCAAGACACCGAAGATGGCATCTAAAACGGCCCTGGAGCTCCCCAAGAGAGACCCAAATCGGCCCGGAGAGGCCCTCAAGACGGCTTCCGACGGGCCAGGAGCCCATCAAGACGGCCCAAGACGGCCCTAAGATGGCCCAAGACGACCCAAGAGGCTCCCAAGAGATCCCCAAGACGGCCCCAGAGGCTCCCAAGAAGGGTCAGGATGTCTGCACCACGGGTTCCCTAAGTTAGGACTCCTGTAGTAAACAATTCGTAGTATTTACATGGTAAGGATGTTTCTGTTACGACAGTATCCTGGTCGAGGATGCATTCAGTACGTATTGCTTACAAGCCTTTAGAATGCGTTTACAAAAAAGCTCCTTCGCCATGCTCCCTTCAACACGCATTCCTTTAACAAAAAACCTTGGCACTGATGCGTGTGGTACGGGAGCCATGTTAACGACGTTTTCGCAGAGGAATCCTGAAGAATGACTCGTTGAATAAGTAGCCCGTTCTAAAGACGTCTTTACTAAATGCATATTTGGTGAGGATCCTGTTTTAAACGGAACCCTTCAGTACGGAAGCCTGTCGTGAAGACCCCGTCAATAAGGAGCCCTGTAGGAAGGATTCATCAGTAAGGGCTCCCAACGTAAGGATTCCTCAAAGGCATGCCGTTCGTGAAACGGAGCTTACTAATGAGTCTTTGAATAAGAGATCATTATCAAGGACCACTGTACTAAACGCCCATGCTGTAAAGACCCACGCCGTAATGCAGAATTCCTCGGGACTCCTTTAGTTTGGAGTCCTCACTAAAAGGATGCCATTAGCATGGTGCCCCTAATGAAGGTGCCGTTGGACACCCATTGTGTGTACAGATCCCTGCAATCAAGATCCCTGAGGAAGGGTGCAAGTAGCATGGAATCAATATGAAGGATGCATCCAACAAATACTCCCGAGTAAGGGTGCCTTTAGTAAGTAATGCGTTCTCTAATCCAGAATAGTGAATACGAATGCCCTTGGGGAGAGGTCATGAATAAAGAATCTGACAATGACAAATCCTGAATAAACACCCATGTTGCTAGGAATCCGTATCAAGGATACGTGTGGTAAGGGGCCCTTAGTAATACTCCTTCTAAAGTGCTGGCGTCCATCTTCAAAATGCCCTGAAGCTGGATTTCTTCAGAAGGGTGCCCGTTACGAAGGACCCCTCAGTGAGGATACTTCTGGTAAGACTTCTTCCTCGGTCAGAACGCCTTCAGTAAGTCTTACGCAGTAATGGTACCCTCCATACATTTTCCATCAGCAAGGGCTCCCTCAGCAATGATACCTTCGTAATGCAAGCATCGTGTTACTCTCCTCACAAAGGTGCCTTTTGCAAGCGAGTCTTAACCAGGCTTCTGTATATAATATTTCTTTGGTTCGGACTCGTGTGGCAATGGGTCGTTCAGAAAGGTCCCTTCAGGAAACCCTCCTCATACAAACAAATCCTTCTATGCCGGGCTCCTCGTGGAGAGTTCCTGCAGCGAGGAATCCGCAGACGGGCGTGGAAGGAGGAGCAAGGAGAAGAACAAGGCGGGCCTGGGTGAAAGGTCCCAGGGGAAACACCCGAATCCACCAGCCCCGATATTCTCTTCGGGAAGGAGGGGGGGGGAGGGGGGCAGGGGAAACAGGGCCGGTGCATTGTCGAAGTCGTTTGTGTTTTGTCTCCCGGGGACCTCTCCCAGGGGAAGGACCCTCTCCTCCGCTGCACGGGGCGTGGATCATCCCTCCCCTCCACTCCGAAGGGGAACCGAGGTGGAACATCCGACAGAGGAAATGCAGCTGCGAGCCTCGCAGGAGGGGTGTACGGAGAGCCCCGCTTCCCAAGGAGGAGCTACGTGCAACCGTTGGACAAAAAAGCGGATCGATCTACAATTCTCCAAGAGAGTTCAGAAATAACTCAAGAAGCAACCAGACCAGATTCCACCTCAAACCATGTCAGACAATATTTTGTATATATGGTATACACACATCTGTATATACACGTAGAAAAACACTGGCCGCCGTTATGCCCCCTCCGCCCTCTCAGAGGCCCCGTGCCTTCCGAGAGCAGAGGATAAACGGGGAGGACGACGATGCTAAGGGCGAGGGACTAGGAGGGGAATGGCCAGGAGAGAAGGACAAGGAGATGTTCCATCCTCCATCTCCCAACAACAAAAGACAAAACACTCTGATGGACACGATTACCCGCCCTCTCTCTCCACCCCGCCCCAAGGGCGGATCTGTCTGGGCGCGTGCCGAGAACGGTCGTGGAGCAGAAGAGCAGTAGACTGCATACACATAAACTTTCGACGGTCCGCTCGGATGTCTTGGATCTGCGCTGGACCCCCCTCCCTGTTGCGCCGAAGCGCGCCAGGGGCGGCGCCCGCGGCGCCACAAGGGAGCACAGCGCATAACCAAGAAATCTGCGCGGGCCGTCGAAAGTTTAGGTTTAAGCAATTGTTCCCTCTTCGATTCCACCTCCCAACAACATAAACAATTATCCTGGCGAACGACCCAACCATACGCAAATTTGAGAGCCGCAAAGCAGGTGGGACGAAACAAGCGGAATTCCCAATGGTGCCGCGAACCGTGTGAACCGTGTGAGAGGTGGGCCAAAGTGGAGCTAAAACGCCATGCGAACCCTGCCACTGGGGCCTTCGGTGGAACTCCCTATGGGGCCACGAACCGTGTGAAGGATGCGCCACAATGGGGCTAGGACGCCATGCGGCCCCTGCAACTGGAGCTTTCGGTGGAGCTCCCTGTGGGGCAACGAACCGTGTGAGGGGTGCGCCAAAATGGGGCAGGGCCGCCATGCGAACCCTGCCACTGGGGCCTTCGGTGGAACTCCCTTTGGGGCCACGAACTGTGTGAGGGGTGCGCCAAAACGCGGGGCCGCCATGCGAACCCTGCCACTGGGGCCTTCGGTGGAGCTCCTTGTGGAGAAACGAAACGCTGTACTGGGTGGGTGAAACGCAGGGAGGAAGGAGGAGGGGGAGGAGGGAAGAGGGAGAGAAGAGGGAGGACGGAGATGGGAGGAGGAGAACGCGGGGACCCTCTCTTCAAAACGAGGACCCAGCACCACAAGATGGTTGGGGAATACACTCTGATGGGCACGGTTCCCCGCCCTCTCCCCCCCCCGTCCCAGAGGCTGGTCGGTCTGGGCGCGTGCTGAACACGGCCGAGGAGGCTTGAGCGCCCTGGAGGCGGCCGGGGCGTCTGAACTGGTCGGGGCCCCAGAAATTCAGTCAGGAGGCGGGGATGAAACCTAATGCGCTCAACATCGGTTCCCGGACCCCTTCCGGGGGTCCATCTGGAGCAGATGTGTCCTCTGCGTCCGTTTTGGAGGGTCCCGAGGCCCGAAAATGGCCCCCAGAGGTTGGGAAAAACAAAACATACCGAACTCAGCGCTTCTGACCTCGCCGGCCCGTCCTGCTGGCCAGAACAGTACTGGGCCACCTCAGACCCCCAGCCGGCCCCAACCCGCGCCTCCTCAGTGTCGTGCTTGCCCCAGATGTTGTGCTCGTCGTACTCCTCTCGCTGCCGGGGACAGGCGGCACAAGCAGACGAGGGTGATGGCGGGCGGGGGACAAGGCGGAGGAGGTGAACAGAGGGGCCGGGAGAGGCAGAGCGCGCGGCCCGAGGGGGGGGGGAAAGACCACGGACATGAGTGTGAAATACGTTGAAGGAAGGAGGGCGGAGGATGGGAGGTCGGAAGAGGGCAAGGACAACTCTACGCTTTGTCCTGGAGACAACTGCCCCGGCCCCCGCGATTGCGAATGGGAATGACGAGAGCACGGCGCTGAGGCGAAGCCACCCCCCCAATCCCCTCGGCTTCTCCCCTTCCCCCCACCCCCTCCTGATTCGCCGTCTTTCCTTTCCCGCTTCCCCCTTGCCCTCTGCCACGTTTCCCTCGCACCTCCTCTCCTCCCTCCCTGCCCTCCTGCTTCTTCGCGCGTGGCCGAGGCGCTCGGTCTCTCCACCCCGTCGCCGCGCGCGCCAGAAGCCGCTGCCGCAGCAGCCTGGCGCGCACAGCAGGCACAAGGGAAAGGGCCTCCCTCTTGGTGAGAGGCCGCAAAGTTGGGCACGTCTGGTCCTTATGTCGGTACACAAGAAGCACAAAACGACGGGCACCTCGAGCCGCGCAGGCGGCGGCTCGAGGAGCCCGAGAGCGTCGATCCCACCCCACCCGCCCACGCCACCAAGCCCCTCACCCACCACCTCGGCAAGCAGCTCTCGAAGGACTGGGCATACCCAGCAATGTCGCATGCAATCGGCGGCGGTACATCCGAGAGCACAGGTGGCCCCCGTCTATTGGAACCTCCGCCGTATCAACCAAGCATTGGAGTGCGTTCGCGCGGGCGAACGCGCGCGAGACCTTTAGCTTGGACATGTTCTGGGAGACAGAAGGCCAATCGATAGTCTCGATTTTCGCCCCGAGGTCAGGAAACCAACTCCAGAACCGACGGAGAGAAGCCGAAGGACACCCGCGGGAAAAAGAGTGACCGTCGAAGAGGCCAGCAGAGCGCGCTTGACTCGGGCGCGGCGCGCACGGCGGCCCTCGCGGGCCGAGGAAACCGCATCGGCCATCAGTCCTCGAACCTCTTCATATCCAGGTGAAAGATGCTTCAGTCTAGGATCGTCGGGAAAGCCTGCAGCAGCAAGCATCAGACGCTGGCAAAGGGCAGGCCCCCCCCCACCACGGCGGCGACCATTCACCACGAATGACAGCAACAATCGGTTGTCTCCTGGGAGCCTGCTCGCGCAGGCGTCGCACTAGCTTCGGCCAGCAGGAAGCAGGTGGAGAGGGCGGCTCTGCCATGGCCGGCGCATGCGGAGAGCGTGAGAGATGGAATACGTGGACCGCCCCGTTTCCCCATTGTGAACCAGCCGAGCCTGCTCAGGGCGCAATGAGGGATGTGGAAAATCTTGGCCAGCATCGCGGCCTCCTGACCTAGCGGCTTCTGAGGTGGCGGCAAACACTGGGCCGCGTAGGATGGCGCCGTCGAGCATCTAGTGGTCAGCTACCTGGGTGGGAGGGATGGCCCCCGCTAGCCGGCGCCCCCGGCGCCCCCGCGAGCGCCAGTTCCCCAGAGGTCCGGGCCAAGACTTGTCGCGCGAGTTGGGCCCCACCCGCATCGCGAAAATAGCTCAGATTCGGAACCGCGATGAAGGCAGACCATTCAAGGGCCAGCTCCGAAAGGGCCTCCGACTACCTGGGCGCCAGCTCCTTGGAGAAGGGGCCACTCGGTGGGGCAATGAACTACTTTGCTGTTTCGGGATGAGGGCCGCAAGCTGCTGAACCCACTGGAAGATCCTTACGAGCACCGCGATGTAGCGAAGCTTCAAGATGACCCCGCCCACGTCGTCGGCGCACGCGCGAATGGCGCTTCTGTACCTGCCCCACAAAGCTGCTCTCGCAGTCCAGCAGGAACGGGCTCAAGCTGGCCGCAAACGAGGGCGCCGCTCGCAGGGCACCCTTGGATGGTCCCTGACCAACCCGACAAAAAAAACAAAAAAAACAAAAAACAAAAACAAAAAAAAAACAAAAAAAACGTGGCCCCGCCAAAGGATCCGAAACATACGAAAGAGCGTGATCCAACGCCGCTCTACTGTGGAAAATTGCCCCCCTCTTCCTCTGGAGCCCGGGAGTCCCCCCCCTTCCGAAAATCCCTCCACCCCCTGCTGGACCCCCCCCCTCCCTCCTCCTCCCCCGGCACCACCCCCCTCCCCTAACCCCTCCCCCCCCCCCCCTCCCCCTCGAAAACCGGGGGGGGGTCACTACCGGTTCGAATCCCCCCCCGATCCCCCCCCCCTCTCGAAAACCGGAGGGGGGGCCACTACTGGTTCGAACCCCTCCCCACCCCCCCCACTCACCGCCAGCAAACGACTCCTGGCCCCTACCAGCGTCCGCACCACATCCCCCACTGTTGTTCCCAGCACCACCGTCCTCACCACCGCTGTCCCCGCTGGTTCCACCACCGCCCCTACTGTCCCCACAAGTGCCCCCACCACTGTCGCACTGTCCCCACTGCCCCCACCACTGTTCCCACCAAGGTTCCACTCCCCCCAATTTCTCCACGGCCCCAACCACTGCCCGACTATCCCCACTGTCCCACTGACTCCTCAGCTGTCCCACTGAGCTGCCCCACTGTTCTAACCACTGTCCCCACTGTCCTGGTCACCACTGTCCCCACTGTACCTCTGTCCCATCGTCCTCGCCACCGCCTTCACCACTGTCCCCACCACCACTGTGCCCTCCATTGTCCCACTGTTTCCACCTCATTCCCACTGTCCCCACACCACTGCCCCCATCACTACCGTCCCCACCACTGTCCACTGTTCCCACCATGGTCCTCACAACTGTCCCCACCACTACCGTCCCCGTCACTGTCCCACTGTCCCCACCACTGTCCCGCTGTCCTCTCACCAGTGCCCCCACCACAACCGTCCCCACAACTGTCCGCGCCCCCCCGCGGTTTTCGAGAGGGGGGAGGGGCTTCGAACCGGCAGTGACCCTCCCCCCCTGGTTTTCGAGGGGGGGGGGTCGAACCAATAGTGCCCCCCCCTTTCCATGATGAGCTGGGGGGGGGGGAGGGGTTCGAACCGGCAGTGGCCCCCCCCCCGGTTTTCCGGAAGGGGTGGTGGGGGGGAATGATTCGAACCGGTAGCGCCCCCCCCCCCGGTTTTCCGCCAGCAGCGGTAGAACGCGTTCTTTCGAAACGCTGCACGCTTTGATTGAGGGCCAGGAAGAATCAGAACATGGGCCCAGGAAGATTCACCCGCCCAAACACTTTCATCGCCCAGAGCGCGAGACCGAGGGGGGCACCCGGGCAAAGCCGTAAGCGAACATGTCGGGGAGGTTTTCCTCAGCTGCATCCGACATCGAAGCGAGACGGGCGCGGGCACCTAGTTCAATGATATTCTCTCCGAACTGCCTTACGATAGTGACCCCCGCTGGAGCCCGCGGCTCACCTCCGCCATCGTCACAGAACAAGGGCGCACCACCAGGCTGGCGAGAATCTTATTCTCCGAGTTCTTCAAACCAAGCGGCATCAGCGACTGGACGTCGCGGACAGCTTCGCGCCCATCGCCCCCTCCCCCCCCCCCTCATGAATGAAGACGCCGAGAAGAGTCGAAGTTGCAAGGGGGGGGGGGCCTGCCGGAATCCACCATGGATTCTCGCCGCAGCTTCTGTCGCATCCCAGCGAGCAAGGGGGGGAACCTCTGAGAAGTCCACGCCGCCCCAAAATCTTTTCAAGTGGGCATCCGCGCGCCCCTGGAGAACAACTTTCGGACCAAAAAGGCATTGCCAATCGCTGCAGATCGCGGTGGACATAGACTCGGGCGCCGTCGCCACCTCATCGCTTAGCCGGATCCCTTTTCAAGCGCTGTCTCCTATCATAAAGGGCACGTGTCGCAGCGCGCTTTTGAAGCCCGCGTTGTTGTTGACGCCAGTTCCGACGGAGCTTCTCGAGGGCGCCCTCCTCGGCACTATCCTTGAGGGCATCTAATTGGGCCTCGAGGTCGGCAGACTGCAACTGGCGGAGATCCGCGGCAAACCTCAGGGCCCAGTAGCCAAGGACGTCCGCTGCACGCATCAAGGCCAAGTATAGCGCGCGCAGCCAGGCGCGCACCTTATCTCCAGACAGTCCGAGCGACCGACCGAATGCACGCCGATCAGAGCGAGCCTCGACGACGGGCCCCGATGCAGAATATCGTTGCGCGCGAGACTGGCCCCTTCCACCGTGGGATATTCATGAGACTCCACCTTGAGCGGCGGCGAGAGGCCGCCCCAGGAGATCGCTCCAAGATGAGCCTCCATGAACCTCTGGAAGTAGCACGTGCTGAAGATTGCCATAGGGATAGGGCGCTCCTTCTGGGGGTATTCGGGGCACCTTTGAAGTCAAACGAGATGGGGGGCGCGATCTGAGATGTCCGAGTGGCACAACACTTCGACGAGACCTTTCGCCACCCAAGGCATTCAATGGAATGGTGCCCCACCCAGGGAATGATGCAACTATTCGGTCCACGAACGTCGTGGAGTCGTTAACTAAGCTGTAGTGCGTCGGGTCCGACTGCTCCACCTTGACCAACTTGCTCAGGAGATCCTGCCATGGCGGGCCCGTGCTCGCGCGCCACTCGCGGTAGCCGAAAACCGACTGTAATTGGGGGCCACTCGCGCCAGCAGGCAGACTCGGGCGAGGCGGGCGAGGGCTAATGTTGAAGTCAGAGCGCGGTCAGGAATGCGCTTCGCAGCTGGGGAATCCTCTTCGGTCGCTCTGGTTACCTGCAGCGTGTCGTTCCTCGACTCGTCCTCGACAAGCCAAAAATGAACGCTCCAGCGGAAAATCCAGCAGCCCCCCGACTCGCCAAATACACTTTAACGTTCGACCCCCCCCCCCTGGAACCAATGCCCGAAAATGGCGGGTAACCGGAACGCCCAGATCTGGAAATAACGCAACACGCCGCCGACATTCGCGCCCCCGACGCCTTCGACGCGTCGAAGAAGGAGTGAAGCATAGGATGCACCATGTCCCCAACCTCCGCCAGAGCCTCATGAGACTCCTGGACCCCGAGGGTGGTGGACGGGGAGAGGATGTTCCTGAGGTGTGCGATCTCCTTCCCACGGAGACCCAGGCCGCGGCGCAAGGGTGCTCGGGCGCCCCAGCGCGTGGCCGCCAAGCTCGAACGGGTGGGCGAGGCCCCCTGCCGCGCCCGCATGAGACTGCTGAAGACACCGCTCAGTCGCCTCAGATTGCTCGAACAACTGGGCGATCGCGCGGCGAACTGCCGCCGAGTCCTTGCCCAGCGCGCCAATATTCTTGTCGCTGGCTGGATCTTCGGAGGCTGGGATCCAGGCGCAGGGCCATAGCTGACCAGCTCCTTCCAGCTCGAGCTGGCCACGCATTTTTTGTTGCCACCGTCGGCTTGACCAGTCTTCCGCTGCCCTCCGCGGGCGCCTCGCCACGCCGTCGCCAGCGCTGAGGAGGGCGGGGCGGGAAGCTCAGATGAGCTCGAAAACCCCCCGCCGAACAGGACCGCGCCGAGCTACCGCCTCGGCTGCCGCAGCGCCCGCACCGCGCGGCGCAGCTCCTCGGCCTCCATCTCGACGTTGTCACGTGGCTCGCAGGCAACCCCATGTCGCCCAGCGCCAGCTCCGTCGAGACGAACGCGCACGATGGTGTCGCCTGCGCTGAGGACGCTGCCACCGCCCCCTGCGTTCTGGCCCTTCGTGATGCGCACGCGGTCGCCCACCTTCATCGTGATGGGTTTGACGATGCCTTCCAGCTCCGCCCCGTCGAGGACACCGTGCACCGCGTTTTCGGTCTTCTCCTCAGAAGAGCCCTCGCCGACCTCTGCCTGGTACGCCACCATCGTAGCGTGGCTCACGCCCTCCTGCTCCTTCGGCAAGCCCTCGCGCTCCTCGAAGAGAGCCTCCACGCCCGCCTGGCCGCCGTCCTCAAAGGTACCGTTGGCGGTGGTGTCCAGGTCTTTTTGCTTGCCCTCGATTGTGCGAGTGCCAGCGTCGTCCTTGAATGTGTCCTGCAGCTTATCCTCCTGCAGGGTTGCGCATATGCTGAGGCAAAGGTTGACGCTGCCCTGCTGCGCCTCCAACGTCGCCTCGATCACTTCACGCCCGATTGTCTTCATCGCGACGGGGTTGCCGATGCCCTTCAGCACCTTCCGCTTGCCATCGACCTTCCCGATGTTGACCTCGACCTTCTCGTTTGCCTTCGTCGCGATGGGGTTGATGATGCCCTCCACCTCGTTCCGCTTGCCGTCGACCTGACAGTCGTCAGCCCGCAGTGGCACGTCCACACAGGGGAGGGTGTCGTGCACCTCCTTCTAGATGTACGCGTTGCCACCGTCCTCAACTGCGTCGTCGACGATGGTGTTCAGCTCGTTCTGCTTGCCCTCGAACTTTGGAGTGCCAGCGCCTCCAGCCATCCACTTGCGCGCCTCCTCGAGCGCCGCTTCGGCTCCGCCCGGATGCCTCAGCAGCGCTGCTGCCGCATCCACTTCGCGCCGCCCCCGCGCCCAGTGCGACGGGGGAGGAGCCCCCTTAGCCCGCAGCGCCTGGAGGCCCTTGGCCAGCGTTGCCTCGCCCAGCGTGGCCACAACCTCTGCAGCTGCGCCGAGCACACGCTGCGCCTCCCCGTCGAGGGCGGGCCGCGCCGCGCTGCCCGCCGCCGCCGCCGTCCGCCCGCCGCCGGCCACCTGGCGCACCAGCAGCGCGGACATGAGCTCCGCAGCTTCGTCGACCGTGGCGAGGGTGGCGCACGCCGCCCCATGCCGCGCGACGATGCCTCGGCTCGCACCGCCACGCCCGCCGCGCGCCATCGCAGCCCAGGCGCGGGAGGAACCGCGCCGCCCGACGAAAGCCGAGGAGGCGCGAGGGCACCCGAGAGCGCCACCGCCTTGAGCCAAAATGGCTACGGAGCTGACCACCCCTGTGTCCTTGTCCACGAAAAACTTGCGCTGCGGGCGCAGCGCGGCGAGCGAGCGCATGATCTTCTTGCAGCCCATCTCCCTCGCCATAATCTTCGGGCTCTTGCCCGCGCTAGTCGGCAACCCCACGTCCGCTACGCCCATCGGTGAGGCCTCGTGATCCTCCTCCATCCAGCACCTCGACCAGGAAGCCTGAGGGCGCCGACGGCTTGTCCCACCCTCCTCGAAGCATACCCTTCCTGGGCCTTGACCACCACCTGGAAGCGCTTGTCCGCGGGCTCCCCCTTCCACGGAGTAATCGGTCGAGGCCACGCTGCTGTCCGCGAGCCAAGGTTCCACTACCTTAGCCACTTGCTCCCGCGGGAGCGGGACCTGAGGCCGAACCGCGATGATGGTCGGGCCGATCTCCCTGTCAGAGCCGCCCGCGCCCACGGGGGGGCGGGGCAGCTCCTCGCGCCGCATGAGCCCGAGCAAGTCCCGCAGCTCCTGCAGCTCCGCCTCCAGTTTGGTGGTCCTCGTGTCGTGGAAGTCCACTTTGTGCTCCAGTCTGCACATCCGCTTCTCCACCGCCTGGTCAATGCTCGAACAGTGTTCCCCCCTCGTCGAACTGAGGCTCGACAGAGACTGTTGCGCGATCGCCAGGCTAGACGCGACGTCCGTCCTGGTCTTGTCGGTGTACTGCCTGAGCTGAACACGCTCAGGATCTTCGTCAGCTCCTCCTTGGACTTCTGCAGCTTGATGTCGGGGACGGACAATGCCACCCGGACTTGAAGCTCCACTCGTCGCGCGAACAGTGGCCTCCGTCCCAGACGACACCACGGGGGTGAGTCGCGGGGGGTTGGAGCCGCCAGTGCCAGCACGGCCGCCAGAACCCTCTCCTCCATCACCTCTGGGAGTGCCAGGTCCGCTGGGAGAAAGCGCGCCTCCCAGCGCCGGGAACATATCCTCACCCTTCAGCAAGTCAACCACTCCTCCCGCACCACGGGCGCCAAAAGACTCCTCACCCACGTGCTCCACCAGGTCATTTTCGCCCTCGGTCTTCGCGTAGTGCCCGATGCCGTCGTCCAGCGCCGGGCGCTTCCTCGGTGGGGCCTCGTCGGAGCTGTTCCTGCCGGGCTGCCTGGCGGCCATTTTGCCGCGGGCAGCGGGGGCCGCGGCCGGGGGCGCAGCGCCAGAGGCACGGTCCACGGCGGCGGGAGCGGGAGCAGCTCAGCAGCGCAGAGGAGACAGAGGGCGGTGCCGAGGCCGAGGGGCGCGCCCCGCGCCATGGCCATCTGGAGGCCGAGGGGTGGCTTGGGCCCCCATGCGGAGAAAAAGTCCAAAGCTAATCGCGGATTCTCGGGCGCCTATAGCCCTTCACAGCGTTTAGCCTGGAGCCAAAATGGCTACGGACCTGCACCCCTGCTTCTTCCCACCTCACCCCTCTCTCCGTGTACCCCCCCCCCTCCTTCACCACGCTCGTCCCGCCGCCCTGAGCTACCTGACCCGTGCTTACAGCTGATCTCTCCCAAGACATCTGGCGTTCTAATTTTTGTCGAGGCGTGTACTCCTGAAGGTCCAGACTACTCCAGAGCTTCACCCCGAATCATTTTCTCACGGCCCCGTGGCCAGTAGAGGGCCCCCTGAAGCTGAAGGTTGCCCAAAATAACAGCCGCTTCAATTTGTTCAGAGTCTCGGATCTCTGGACCCGATGCCCCTTCATTAGGAAGGGCGTCTCGATCGACTGCGCCTCGTTGGAGATAGTTTGCTCCACATCTCCAAAGCTGGGGTTCTTCTCCTCACGTCCTTTCCCTCCTTTTCCTTACTCTGATTCACTCGCTCACACCAACACGCAGACTCACTCACACTCGGACACAGTGAAATATCGTCTCACTCAAACTCAGATCCAATCACACGCAGACTTACTCACACTCAGACTCACTCATATTCAGACTCAGCACACTCAGACTCACTCATACTCATAATCAACCACAATTGGAGTCACTCACTCTCGGACTCAATCCCACTCGGAATAGCTCACACTCAGACTCCTCTCGCACTCAGACTCAGACTCACTCATACTCATTCGTGGCCCGATGCCAACCGAGATATAGCAGGGGTAGATTTTTGGGCACTCCAAGAGGGGCGCCAGGGGTGAGGGCATTCCTAGATTCGTGTCCAAATTCTGTGGATGTCTCAAACGGTGTGCACGCTTGCATGCCCAACACCCTCTGTTTTCAAAGCCAACTGTGAGGATGTCTCAAGCGGTCTGCCTGCTTACATTCGTGCCCAAGTTGCGGGGATTTCTCCAGCGGTCTGCCTGCCTGTCTGCATGCCCAACACCCTCTGCTCTCAAGCGTAGAAGCGACGATGTCTCGAGCGGTTTGCATGCTTCGGCCCCCGCCCCAGACCCTTCTGCTTCCCCAAATGACAGGTTGGGGTTGTTAGATTTCAAGAACAAGCCCCTCGGCCAACCTTACCGTGCACACCCTGGCCGCCAGACCCCAAGCTGTCCCTAATATCCCGGGTATCCCGCCCCGCGCCTGGCCGACCCGACCCCGCATACCGCGGCCGCCAGACCCCAAGCTATCACGATGATCCCCGAGAGTCCCGGGGGTCCCGCCTCGCGCCCGGCCAACCCCACCATGCATACCGCGCCTTTCAGACCCCACCTTGTCCCGATGATAGTCCCGTGTGTCCCGCCTCGCGCCCTCGACGAACACGACATAACACAACATGATAGAGCATAACATGGCAGAGCGTGGAGCCAAAATGGCTACGGACCTGCACCCCTGCTTCTTCCCACCTCACCCCTCTCTCCGTGTACCCCCCCCCCTCCTTCACCACGCTCGTCCCGCCGCCCTGAGCTACCTGACCCGTGCTTACAGCTGATCTCTCCCAAGACATCTGGCGTTCTAATTTTTGTCGAGGCGTGTACTCCTGAAGGTCCAGACTACTCCAGAGCTTCACCCCGAATCATTTTCTCACGGCCCCGTGGCCAGTAGAGGGCCCCCTGAAGCTGAAGGTTGCCCAAAATAACAGCCGCTTCAATTTGTTCAGAGTCTCGGATCTCTGGACCCGATGCCCCTTCATTAGGAAGGGCGTCTCGATCGACTGCGCCTCGTTGGAGATAGTTTGCTCCACATCTCCAAAGCTGGGGTTCTTCTCCTCACGTCCTTTCCCTCCTTTTCCTTACTCTGATTCACTCGCTCACACCAACACGCAGACTCACTCACACTCGGACACAGTGAAATATCGTCTCACTCAAACTCAGATCCAATCACACGCAGACTTACTCACACTCAGACTCACTCATATTCAGACTCAGCACACTCAGACTCACTCATACTCATAATCAACCACAATTGGAGTCACTCACTCTCGGACTCAATCCCACTCGGAATAGCTCACACTCAGACTCCTCTCGCACTCAGACTCAGACTCACTCATACTCATTCGTGGCCCGATGCCAACCGAGATATAGCAGGGGTAGATTTTTGGGCACTCCAAGAGGGGCGCCAGGGGTGAGGGCATTCCTAGATTCGTGTCCAAATTCTGTGGATGTCTCAAACGGTGTGCACGCTTGCATGCCCAACACCCTCTGTTTTCAAAGCCAACTGTGAGGATGTCTCAAGCGGTCTGCCTGCTTACATTCGTGCCCAAGTTGCGGGGATTTCTCCAGCGGTCTGCCTGCCTGTCTGCATGCCCAACACCCTCTGCTCTCAAGCGTAGAAGCGACGATGTCTCGAGCGGTTTGCATGCTTCGGCCCCCGCCCCAGACCCTTCTGCTTCCCCAAATGACAGGTTGGGGTTGTTAGATTTCAAGAACAAGCCCCTCGGCCAACCTTACCGTGCACACCCTGGCCGCCAGACCCCAAGCTGTCCCTAATATCCCGGGTATCCCGCCCCGCGCCTGGCCGACCCGACCCCGCATACCGCGGCCGCCAGACCCCAAGCTATCACGATGATCCCCGAGAGTCCCGGGGGTCCCGCCTCGCGCCCGGCCAACCCCACCATGCATACCGCGCCTTTCAGACCCCACCTTGTCCCGATGATAGTCCCGTGTGTCCCGCCTCGCGCCCTCGACGAACACGACATAACACAACATGATAGAGCATAACATGGCAGAGCGGAACAGAGCATGACATAATATGACAGAACATAGCATGTCAACATCATGACTAAGTAGAGCACTACCCAACATCACAGAACAGATCAAAGCAGGACATGGCATAACATAATACGATACATCACGACATACCATAACATAACCGATCGTAAGATAACGCACCTTGACATAACATGTCGTACCATGACAAAACATTACAGACCAACGTAATATTAAGACAGCAGAGCATAGCGACGTCAAACACGACAGAACACAACATCTCACAATATCACATGGCAGAACAGAACGCGAGCATGACAGACCGTGGCAGAACAGAACATAGCAATGTCAAGGACTGGAGCATAACATGACATACCAGAGCCGGACGTGGGATAGCACAAGACGACAGAACACGACATGCCAGAACAGAGCCGAGCATACCACAACACACCTTGACAGAACAGATCATACCATGGCAGAGCATCACATAACAAGCCTTAACACGATAGCAGAGCATAGCGACTACGAACACGACAGAACACACCATGCTACAACATAACATGACAGAACAGAACTCGAGCATCACAGAACATGACAGAACATAGTACAGCAATTGCATTACAACATAGGGCAACCCGACAGAACGCAACATACCATACAATAGCCGATCATACCATAACACACCATGCCAAGTATCATGATGCAGCATCGTGGAGCATGTCATAATACAGCAGCAGAGCATAGCAACACAGACACTAGCAGAACATATCATACTATACTCTACAGAGACGGGCCGTCAACAAACATAACATCGCATAACATACCAGAGCAAAGCATGACAGAACAGCAGACGACATAACACAGCATAACAGAACAGAGCCGAGCATACACTAACACGCCTTGACATAACAAAGTATAGCATGATGCGGCACCACAGAACAGACCATACCACGACAGCAGAGCATAGAGACGTTGAACACGATAGAACACAACATGACAGACCATGACATGACATAACAGAACACAAGCATGCCAGAACACGAAATAACATAACACATCAATGCCATGGCAAAACGAGACATTCCATAACATCGCAGAACCGAACATAACAGACCATGACATAACAGAAGACGACATAGCACACCATATCATGACATAGCATACCACACCTTGACATACCATACCGAATCATGGAGCAACATCACAGAACATACCATAACACGGCAGCAGAGCATAGCGACACACACTAGCAAAACATAACATACTGTACTACACAGGGCCGAGCCGTCAACAAACATATCATCACATGGCGTACCAGAGCAGACCATGACAGAACAGAAACCATACATCGACATAACACAACACGACCACACGTAGCATACCACACCATGATAGAACACATCATATCATAACATGCCAGCATCACAGAAAACATCATAGCACGGCAACAAAGCACAGCCACGCATACTATCAGAGCATAACATTATATACTATACTGAGCCAAGCTGTCAACAACATCACGGAACACAACATACAATTATATTATGTGGCATAACACGTCCTGTCATAACATAGTGTCACAGAGCAGATCATGGTGACAGAGGTGAGCGCAACATTAACTACTCAATCAGAAGAGAAACGTAAGTGAAGAGGAACGTCATAACCGACGACGCATCTAACGTCAAAGACATCACAACGTCACGCAGGCCCGTCGAGAACAGAACAATAACAATAACAACATTAAAAAAACAGTTACTGCATGGAACACGGTTGAACCGTTTTTTGAATCCAGAAACGGCAGCTGCCGACCGAATAGGCGACCGTGCGCCGTCGGGAACAGACGCTTAAGGTTTCGGTGGGAATCGCTCGAAGCAGAATACTTTGGTGGTCCAATGCTCGCCACGAAATAACAAGCGTTATAGTTGGGCACCCCAAGGGGGAACCGCCAGGGGTGCGCGTCCACTTTGTGGGGATCTTCAGCGGTTTGCCTGTTTTTGCCCCCCCCCACCCCCCAAGATTTGACTCTTTGGAAGGCCAAACGCCCACCGCGATCTAGCAAGCGTGGCACTTGGGCATCCCAAGGCGAAGCCGCCAGGGGTGGGGATGCTGCAGGCGGTTTGCGTGTCTCTACCCCTCCAAACATTTCTTTGGACTTGTGTGCGCCTCACTCATTCACTCACTCACCTCTTTCCATTTCCTCCCCACTCGGACGCACTCATTCCCACTCCGGCTTGCCAGCACCTCGTCCTCAGTCAGATCCACTCAGCACTTTCAGATTCGCTCATACCTAGATTCGATCATACTCAAACTCAACAGACTTACTCGCTCATACTCAGACTCGCTCGAACTAACACTCACCCACGCCCAGCCCAACTCACACCCATACTCTCTCACACTTAGACTCACCAGCCCCCAGACTCACTCATACTCAAACTACCTCGCAGGCTTACTCACACTCTGGCATGTATTAATCACACTCAAATTGAAACTCACCGACACTGAGACTCACGTGCAGTCGTACCTACTCGCACATAGAATCGCTCACACTCAGACCCACTCGTACGCAAGCCCATTCGTAGTCACACTTACTACCACACTCGGGCTCAATCGTACCCAGGTCCAGTTACACCAGCTCGCTCACACTCAGATCACCCACGCTCATAATCACCCGCACAACGCCAGGCACGCTTGCCTGAGTTGCCGCGGCGAGAGCGACGAAAGGACCCCCCATCGCTCTTCCACTTGTGTTCCCTCGTCTCTCCTGCAAGATGTCGGGACGAGGATCTAATCTTTTCGCCTTGGGCAGCCCCACGTATGCCCGCATGCCCACTTTTACCTGCGAGCACCAGTGCTGCGCGCCCATTTCGGACCCGCGCAATCGACAAGGTCAGGTTATCCAGGGGGGGTCGGGCGGGCCCGAAGACGAGGGTTATCGCTGGACACTCAACGGACAAGCCTAGCGAAGGACCAAACTGCATGCAATTGTAAATACAATCATTGTGAATCCGTCTTCAGTGGTATGTGATGGGTGTGCCGGCAGGGGTGGCGCGGACGCCATACGAACCCTGCCACTGGGGTTCAGTGGAACTCCTTACGGGGCCACGAAACGTATGAGGGTGTTCCGAAATGGATCGCGCGCCGTGCAAACCCTGCCACTGGGGCCCGCGGTGAAGCTCCCTATGGGGCCACGGAGCGTGCCACTGAGGCCTTCGGTGGAGCTCCCTATGGGGCCACGAAACGTGTGCGGGATGTGCCGAAATAGGTCTCGCGGACGAACGTAAACCCTGCCACGGGTGGGGCGGGCGCATGTGAACCCTGCCAGTGGGGACTTCGGTGGAGCTCCCAATGGGGCCACGAAGCATGTGAAGGGAGTGCCGAAAGGGGTCGCGCGGGCGCACGTAAACCCTGCCTCTGGGATCTTCGGTGAATCCCCTCATGGGGCCACGAAACGAGTGAGGGGTGGTCCGACATGGACCACGCGGACGCGTGTGAACCCTGCCACTAGGGCCTTCGATGGAGCTCCCTCTGGGGCCACGAGGCGTGTGAGGGCTGTGCCGAGATCGGTGTCGCGGACGCATGCGAACCCTGCCATTGGCGTTTTCGATGGAGCTCCCAATGGGGCCACGAAGCGTGTGAGAGGTGTGCCGAAATGGGTGGCGCGGACACATGTAAACCCTGCCACTGGGGCCTTCGGTGGGGCTCCCCATGGGGCCACGAAACGTATGAGAGTTGTACCGAAGTGGGTCGCGTGGATGCATGCGAACCCTTCCACTGGAAGCTTCGGTGGAGCTCCCTATGGGGCCACGAAATGTGTGAGGGATGTGAAGGGTAAGTTGACTGGTACGGAGGGCGGAGGGAAGGATGGGGGGAGGGAGGGGGGGACGAGGAGGAGGGATGGATACGCGGGGCGCTGTATCCTCAAAACGACGACCCAACACCACAGGATGGTTGGGAACAAACTGTTGGCCCCCTAACTCGGTGGCAAGTCATGGAAGCCTCCCATGCCATCTTTTTGGCTCTGGGCGTCGAAGCTAATCTACGCTAGTCGACTCTAAATCGACGCTAAATCGAAGCTAAGTCTACGCACATCGACGCTACATCGGCGCTATCCCATCGACTACCAGACGCTAATCGACGCTAACGCATTCTAAAAACGAAATTACAATGGTGTTATGCCAGTTTCCCATGACTCGCCACAAAATCACACCGCGGGCGTGCGCTGGGCAGGGGCACCTTGCCGGCCCCAATGCTGGCGATCCCTGGACCCGAGGACGCCGGTGGGGGCCCTGCGGCCGCTGCAGTGTTTCCAGAGACCTGGATCTCTGGGCAACCAGTCCTCCTTGCTCTTCGGGGGCTTCTGAGAGGAGGGTGTGCAAGAGGGGGTGTCGCACATCATGACCGGAGGCACGTGCGCGACCCAACGGGGGCCAATGGCGACGACGTCGAATGCATCGGCGACGCCGGCGTGGGCCATGTCGGGCTCCACGACAAGCCGCATCGCCGTGGCATCGGCGATGCGGCTCGATCCTCCGGCCTCACCTGGAGGCCTCTAGACTGCAGGTTCTGTGCTGACGCGTCTGCGTGCGCTCGGTGGCATGATGCCCGGGAGGCGGCCCGTCGTGGCGGAAGGCAACATCGCGCAAACTCACGCCCAGAGCCTTCGGTGGCAACTCGTGGGAGCCTCTCATGCCATCGTGCTGGCTCTTGCGGATCTACGCTAGCCGACGCGGAACGACGCGAACCGAGGCGAACCGACGCTGTCCCGGTGCTTTCTCGTCGATTACGACACGCTGGCGCACGCTAATGCACTCTGAAGACGGAGTTCCAGGGACATTCAAGGCTCCCCTGACTTGCAACACCCCAGACCCCACCTTTCGTCTGCGGCACTGTTCGAGACGCATCGACCTGTGTGAAGGGGCCCTGGGACACACAAATGAATAGACAGAAATAACAGGATTCCCAATACTTCCCCTATACTCTCTGGGTTTTCGTCGTCCCCCCCACTTCCCATATTTTCCCAGATTTCCTGGGGAACCGACGATCCATTGTGTCTGTGCGTGTTTGTTCCCTCCTGACTGCGGTGGCGCCCGGGGCCCGAGACCGGGCGAAGGCGCCCAGCGGAACTCAACACTACTCCGCGTTCGCGCCTCCGTGCTCCTCCCCGTCCGGCCGGCGGCCCCCTCTGGTGGGCCGCGGTGACCCTGCGCCCCAGGTCTTAGTCCCCGGGAGATCACAGATATCCGGGTCTGGCGGGGATAATCAAAGCTTTTCCCGGGGAGGTGATGTTCTGATGATGATGATGATGGTGATGGTGATGGTGATGGTGATGGTGATGGTGATGATGATGATGATGATGATGATGATGATGATGATGATGATGATGATGATGATGATGATGATGATGATGATGATGATGATGATGATGACGGGGAGGTATGATTTATTATCGGGGGCAGGCGGTTAGACCAGCTCAAGGGAAACGCACCGAGCTTGCATCGGCGATAAATCGCCGGTGCATCTGGCGAATCTGCATGCTCCTGGGCGGGTTGGGCCATCGGGACCCTCTAGGCGACCTGTGGGAACGCTCTGAGATCCATGCGGGACGCTCTACAACGATTTATCCCTGCCCTAGCCTCGCCCGATCGATGCACCCCCCCTGAGCAAAACCATCCCCGCCCAATGAACGTTGCCCCTGCCATTTTGCGCTTCGTTGAGGGCGGCGGAGCTGGTCTGGCCCCCGCCCAGACATCCGGCGCCCCGGATCTCTGGGGGAGGAGGAGGAGGAGCACCTTTGGGAAGCCCTGCCCCACAGCACGGCTGTGGATCCGACAGCAGGTCGAGGGCGGGCAGCGACCGGACGGCCCTGCGCGCCCCGACTGTGCTCCTGACAGGGCTGCCCGTGATGGGGGTGCCGAGAAGATGCACCGCCACCACCCTCATCCCCCCTCCCCTCCCCCCAAGCCTTTCGGCGGTGGACAACCTCCCTTCAGTAAACCTCCCCTTAGTGAAAACGGCCAGGGACCGAAACCGACGGACCTGGGCCCGCAAAAGTGGCGGCCGCGACGCCCTCTCGCGAACGGAAAACCGCCAATTCCTTACTCGACGTGTCAGGGTGGGAGGTCTATCCACAGCCGAAGCCTCCCTCGAGAACGGCGAAAACACACACACACAACAAAAAAACACACACAAAAAAACACACCGTGGGAACAAAAACACACAGTGTGTGTTTTGTGTGTGTGTGTGTTTTCCCCACAGTGTGTTTTTGTCCCACTGTGTGTGTGTGTGTTTTTGTTCCCACTGTGTGTGTGTGTGTGTGTGTGTTTTTCCCAGAGTGTGTGTTTGTGTGTGTGTGTGTGTCTGTGTCTGTGTCTGTGTCTGTGTCTGTGTCTGTGTCTGTGTGTGTGTTGTCCCGAGAACGGCAACGCTGGCCCAACCTGCTGCCGCCCAGCCGCCGAGCCCCCTCCCGGGCGTCCTCGGGCTCCGGGATCCCCAGCACAGGGGCCAGCAGCGAGGCGCCCTTGCGCAGCGCGCCGACCTCGCCCGCGGGGTGGCGAGGGGGGCCGACGAGCTGTGGTCGACCGAGGCGCTCTTCCTGACGAAAGAGCATCGGGCCCAGAGATCTGAGATTCCGAAAGACTTTGGGCGGCTGACTGATTGCAATGTTCGGCTTCCGGGGCCCTGCACAGGTCCGGGGGCCGTCAAGGAACAACTCGGAACGAGGAACAGGCCCTAGGGAAACGGTCCAGACCTCCAGGGGTCCACGCATCGAAACATTCAGAGCGCTGGATATTTTTGGGAAGGAACATCGGAGGCGTGACAACGGCGGCCCTCCCTTGCGCTCTTCGTCCTCTTGTGGCCCCCTGGAGGCTTCTCGTCGCCACGGGCAGGTTCTCGTCAAACATCCGCCGGCGTGTGAAACTGTCGCCCCTCCCCAAACCACTCACGAGAGGGCCCCGTCTGGCCAATTTGGAGGAGGGGTGGGGTATACAAAATGTGCCTGCGGCCCTGGCCGTGTGCCGGCGGCCGTCGCAGAGATGGTCCTATGGACGGCCTGCAACACCCTTACGCGGTGCCACAACGCGGTACTCACAACTGCACACGTTTGGGTCCTTCGCCAAGGTAACTTTCATAACGCAGACCCCCAGAAGTCTCGACCCAGGACCAGGGGTTCACCCTGAGTAGGTTTTTGACGCCCCCAGGGGCCGAACACAGTGAAGAACCTCCCATCCTAGTTTTGCTCATGCCTCGAGGGGATCTGGAAAGGGAGACTTCTGGCGCGTGGCCTGCCGATGTTGCGTGCGGTGCAGAAGCCTGGCCGCCCGCTGCGCACCGACGGCCACTCTGGCGAAGCGTCACTCGGGCCTCGAGAGTGCAGCACCACGAAGTTGAGGACGAGAGTGCCAGCCAGAGGCACCCTTCTTGGGCGTCGCGTGCTGGGGGGGGGGTGCAACAGACGGGGTGCAGCGAGGGCTGCAGCAGAGGGGCCCCTTAGGGTCCCGGATGGGGCCTCTCGGGCCCGAGGAGTGCACCCCCCCCGTGGGCATGGGCGACCGTTGGGGTCCAGCAGCGCGGCTCGATGGCGCGCGGGGGGGCCATTTCCCTGGACCCCAGCGAGAGCGTGATTCCCGAGTGTCTATGACGCGGCGTCTGAATACATTGCGAAGACGTCCCACGCGAGAGCGCGATTTCTGCACAAACTGTGAGGAAATCCCGGCAGCCGTAGTTGTTGTAGCAGGGGGGAGGCCAGCAGCTTCCCCCCCCCCCAGTCTGTCCCCCCCCCCCCCTTTTCGGGGGCGGGCGCGGGCGGGTCGCAGGTGTGGTGATGGCAACGAACAGGCATGATCTGCGCCGCGGAACTCCGCTTCGGCCTCGCACCCAGGGACACTGACTCTGACTCGGGTCGAGGAGCAACCCAGGGGGGGGGGATGGGGTCAGGGTGGAACATCGAACTGGGATCGATGACACATCGCCGATTGATCGGCGTTAGGCTCCCGATGACGAAACCCAACGGTGCGGGGCGGGGTGGGGCTATCAGGCCCCCAACACATCGGCGACGAATGGGCGACTCTGGTCGACGCACTCCCCCCTGAGCCTATCCCCCAAGAGTGCTGCCCCTGGTGGTTTTCAGGCCACCACTCGGGCCTCTGGCGGCCACTCGGGTCGGCTCGGGCACTCCTCCGAAATCTGTCGGCGAGAGCACCCCGATGCAGGAAGCCTTCAGAAACCGACGAGGACGTCCGAGGGTCTCAGAGGACAGACCCAGACATCCGGCGCTCCTGCTGTTCCTGCGCGTGGGCCCCCTGATGCCTGGACCAAATTCCCTCGGACCGTCCGTTCATCCCGAACCTGTGTTTTTGGAAGGTCCCCAGGTGCAGAAAATTGCCCAGACTCGGGCGCTCCAGTCGTCTCGGAACGCCGGATACCTGGGGAGGCCACTCCAGCGAAGCGTCACTCCCACGTGCAGCCGCGCGGGGTCCGACAACAGCTGGGACCAGGCCGCCGGGCTCGTCGACGCCTCCGTCTCCGCAGGAGCTGCTGCTGCTGCTGCTGCGCCGGCTGGGAGGGGCAGGTGCCGCGGCCTGCGCGCTCGTCGGGCGCGGGGAGGGGGCCCCAGAGATCCTGGCGGCTCGGCGGCATCGAGACGGCCAGGATGTTGTCGTGTTCGCTGTCGCTCGGCGCCGTCCCCACAGCAACCCTTGTACGTGTCAGCTGGCACCGTGCATCCAGACGCACTGCCTCTGAAACGATGAGCGCTGCGGGGGAACGAGATGGGACGGGAGGGAACGTACATCGGGCGCGCGCTAACATGGACTAGGGGCTGGGGATATGCGGATCTGGTGTGCGGTCGCCAGATACGTGGATCCGGGGAAAAGACTGCTAACAGCTTGCACCAATGCCGCCCGATTTGGTGGCGGAGCGCGCCGATTCTGTAGTTATGGAAGCGGGGCCCATCGCTAATGAACGAGCCCTTGATCCATGTTTGTGTTTCCTCGAGTAAGACAGGGGGCGGCCCCTGTAAACAGGAAGACATTGACCTGGAATTGGCGATGCAGATCGGCGACGGGCCCAGGCCGATGGCAAATCAGCACGTTCCTGTGCGGGGCGGGATGTCGGGCCCATGTCGGGGATGAGTGGGCAGTTGGGGGTCGATGCGACCCCTCTGAGCCTGCCCCCCCCCTGGCGTTGCCCCGGAAGGAGAGGACCAGGCGAGGAGGAGGACGGAGGAAGGGTCAGGAGATGTGAGAAAACATGCCCGTCGGAGCATCGCCAATCCTGGCATCGGGAAGGCCTCCTCTGGGCCCCCAGGGGAGCCGTCGAAGAAATCCGCCGACCCTGTGTCGGCGTGTGGAAGAGGCTGGTCGCTGTTTCCCTGTTCTCTCTGAGGCTGTCCTGACTGATGGAAACGACGCCTCTCCCGGGAAGCTCGCGAATCCCGCGGTTCCACCAAATTCCCAAAAAAAACGTCGAGGGAACCCCTTCCCTTTCATCCCTTCCCGCTGGGGGGGGGGTCTCGGGGAAGTCCCAAGGAAAATGCGCTTCCCCCCCCGGGCGCCTCGGCCTTGGCCCCAGCCCCGGCCCTGGCCGGGCCCCGGCTCTGAGCCCGGCACCCAGGCCCGGTCCCCCTGGCTCCAGATCCGCCCCATTTTTCAATGACAAAAAAAACGTCGGAAATCCATATCTAAGAAGCCGGAAACAAAACGGATATTTCCGCCCCCAAGAAGCAAGGCTGAAATGTTCGTCCTACTTTCCGACGATTCTATTCGAGTCGCGCCTGGCAAAGCGCGTATTTGCTCGGATCCGAAGAAAGCTGGGCGGATGCATAATCAAGTTCGCGCGGCGCTTCTTTCGAAACCACCCAGAGCGCCGCGTCAGAGCGACGGGGCCGAACGGTCTCCCACTGTCCCCAAGTGCGGGTTTGACCCATTAGTCCACGATGCAAAAACATGTTTTCACATGGTCGTCGCGGCCCCGCCGCCCGCGCGGCGGCCCACGAGGGCGCCGGGACGGTCAAAGACGGCCTCAAGGCGACCCGCGATGCTTCGAAGACGGCCCCCAAAAGGGCCCCAAGGTGTTCCCAAGCGGCCCGCGCCCGTAGATCCTCACACCGTTCATCAGTAGCGATGGCGTTTTTGCCCATCGGGCTTTGGCCCAAACGTTGTCAGGTTTGCCCCACTCGCCCAGCAGGCCCGAAATAGTGCTTCAAGACGGCGCCAAAACGATCCAGAACGGCCTCCGAAACGGCCTGCGCGGCCCAAAATGGCGCCTTTGGCTGCGCGCCGTCCCGGGCGTTGCCTCCAAAACGGCACCGCGGCCGCGCCCGAAAGCGGAGGTCGATGTATTCGCCGCGCCGTCAATCAAAACACGTTTTGCCCCTCGTCCTCCCCCTAAGAACGCCCGACATGTTGATGTTTTCAATTTGCGGACCCAGGATCCCCGACGCATCAATGAGATGTCTTTTCGGGCGTAGCCCGAATGTGTTTCTCGCGAGGTAAACTCCAACTGACTGACAAACTGATTGACAGACAGACAGGAAGGCAGACAGACAAACAGACTGACTGGTCGCACCCGCCGCGCGGCGGTTTTATTCTCGGCCGCCGAGGGCGCAACCGACGGCGCAACCAATAGGGGGCGGCAGTATTCTCTGCCGCCGAGGGCGCAACCTATGGGGCAACGAGTAGCACGCAGGTGCATTATCAACCGCCGCCGAGGGCGCAACCCATGGCGCAGCCAATCGGGGGCGGTTTTATTCTCGGGCGCCGGAGGGCGCCACCTATGGCGCAACCAGTAGGATGCGGAAATATCATCGGCCGCCGAGGGCGCAACCGATGGCCCCACCACAAAACGACGGGATCATTCTCGGCCGCAGAGGGCGCAGCCAGGCGAAACCAGTGACAGACGGGCTCATATTCTCGACCGCCGAGGGCGCAACCTATGTCGCAACCAACAGCAGGCGGTTTGATTTTCAGCAGCCGAGGACACAACTCAGGGCGCAAACGATAGACGATGGTTTTATTCCCGGCCGCCGAAGCGCAACCTATGGCGCAATCCACAAGCGACGGATTCCACTTTCGGCAGCCGAGGGCGCAACCTATGGCGCAAACCATATAATACAATGTTACTCTCGGCCGCCGAAGGCGCAACCCATGACGCAACCAATAGGCGCCGTTTTGTCTTCCCACTCCGGGCGACTGCAGCCCCGACCGTTGCATTTCGCGTCGCCCACCCCTCTGTCCACAGCTCCTCCCTCAGCGGCCCCCTTATCTTCAGCGCCCCTCTGTTCCCAGCGGCCGAGTGCCCCCTTCCGCCCCGACCAGTTTATGTCGCGTCGCCCCGCCTCCCTCCTCCTCCGCCTCTGCCCCCAGCTTTCTCCCCAGCGCCCCCCTGTCATCGCCCCCGGCAGCCGAGCCCCCTCCCCCCCCGCCCCGACCGCATCATTTTGCGTCGCCCCCCCCGCCCGCCCCCTTCTGCCGCGATCCCACGGCCCGCCCCCATCGTGTTTTGCTTCGCTTGTCCTCTTCCTCCCCTCTCCTTCCCTTGCGTGCAAGACCCATGGCGCGCGCGTTGCTTTTTCTCGGCCGCCGAGGACGCAAACCGTGGGGAAACTGATCGGAGTCGCTTTTATTCTCGGCACCCGAGGGCTCCACCTACGGAGCAACCAGTGGGATATTGTTTCATCGTCGGCCGCCGAGGGCGCAACTTATGGCGAGACCCGCGGGGGGTGGGTGCATTCGCGGCCGCCGAGGGCGCAACCTATCGCGCAACCAAAAGGAGACGGTTTTATTCTCGGCGGCCGAGTGCTCAAAGATCGGCGCAACCAATAGGCGACGTTTTGATTCTCGGCCGACGGAGAGGAACGCGAGTAGTACGATTACGAGAACGACGATTAAGGACGACGAAGACGACGATGACAATCGCGACGACGACGACGACGGCGACTGCGACTGCGACAGCTGCGGCGCCGGCGGAGACGAGGATCGTCGCCACCACGACGGTACCAAAGGCGACGACGCGCGCGCCGACCCGGCCAAGCCTGGCTGGACATCCAAATGCACGCAGGGCTACGTCCGATTTATGTTCGCCGTTTGGGCTGGCGGCGGGGGTCAAGCGGCGAGCTGTCTTGTGATTCCATCGGGGGTCATGTTTTGACGGCCGTGGGCCCGCTGAGGGCTCCAGGATACCAAAATGCGGGGATGGACCTCCGTCTTGATTTTTCAAGACGTTGGGTCTCTGAGCTCCTCGTCCCTCCTCCTCCTCGCCCTCCCCCTCCCTTTTCTTCTCCCCACTCTGCTCCCCTCTCCCCCTCGTCTCCTCCCCCCTCTCCTCCTTCTCCTCCCCTCTGTCGTCGTCGTCGCTGTCTTCGTCGTCCTTTTCGCCGTCGCCGTCGTCGCTGTCGCCGCCGTCGTCGCCGCCGTCGTCTTCGATGTCCTCGTCGTCGTCCTCGTCACCGTCGTCGTCGACGACGCGGTCGACGATGCCCTCGTCGTCGTCGTCGCTCTCGTCGCCGTCGCCGTCATCGTCCTCGTCACAGTCATCGTCACCGTCCTCCCCCTCCTCCTCCTCCTCGTCGCCGTCGTGTTCGTCTTCCTCGCAATCGCCGTCGTCGTCGTCGTCGCCGTCGTCGTCGTTGTCGTCCTCATCCATGTCGTCGTCGCCGTCGCACAGGTCCCCGTCCTAGTCGTCGTCGTCGTCGTCCTCGTCGCGTTCGTCGTCGTCGTTGTCGTTGTCGTCACCGCGGGCGTCGTGGCTGTCCGCCATGGCGTCCCACTGCTGCTCCGTGGAGCCCATGTTCTTGCGAATCCGACCCTTAACGGACCACCGGAATGCATTTGCGCAGGCCCCCGGGGGCCGAAAACTTTACGTAAGATCGTTGGAAAAACATGGTTCAAACTTGAAACTTTTTCATCCAATTTGAAAACAATTTCCCAATTTGAGCGAAATTTGAGAACAACGTGTGGACAATGTGAGAAAATGTTCTCCAATGGCTGTCAAATTGTTCTCTAAGTGTGAAGATTGTTTCAAATTAGAGAACAGTTTCTCAAGTTTGAAACATGTTTTCCAGCAGTCCCATAGTTTTCCGCCCCCGGGGGCCCGCGCAAACGCATTCCAGTGGTCCGTCAGGGGTCGAATTCGCAAGAAAATGGATTCCATAGAGCATCACTGGGACGCCATAGCGGACCGCGACGACGCCCACGGGGACGACAAAGACAACGACGACGGGGACGAATACGACAATGAGAATGAGGACGAGAGCGATGAGGACGCCGACGACGACGACGACTAGGACGGGGATGTTTTCGACGACGGCGACGACGACGACGAGGGTGACGACGACGACGAGGAGGACGACGACGATTGCGAGGAGGACGACTACGGCGACGAGAGCGACGAGGACGACGACTGTTGCGACGACACCCTGGCCAGGCGCATCCTGGGCACGGTATCGGTAAATGCGCCCTCCTGGCTTGGCCATGCAGGTCTGTACACATGTACTCCGATCCCTTGGTCAAGAGACATCCCCCGATAAGGAGAGATTGGCATGAAGGACGCGGCTTCTTGATCACGGTGCGCTCCCAAGGACCAGCTGTCATCCTGTGCCGTTGTTGGCGATCCCAGGGCCGGGGGTGGGGCACGAGGCCCCGAGCGCCCGAAGCGAGGAGAAGCGAGGATGAGGGAGGAGGGAGGAGGGAGAGGAGGGTGAGCAAAGCGGAGAAGTGAGGCGTGGTTAGGAGTAAGAAGGAGGTGCCCGAGGCGAGGAGGAGGAAGTGGAGGAGGCAGAACATGGAACATGGATTGGCCTGGTTCCTAAGACCCAAATCCCGCAAACATATTGAAAAACAAGATGCGCTAGTCATGGGAGGCAAACCTTCCGAGTCTCTCGATTTGGGGGGCACACGTACGACATAGCAAACGCCCAGCGGTACAAGCAAACCACAGAGCAAGAGCGCATACATGACAAGGAGACCCCGAACCCACATCAACGCCAATTTCATGTGAAGGAGCGCAACGATCACCCGCAGCGCCTAGGGCAGAGAAGCGTGCCCGACTGGAGGAGGAGGAGGAGGAGGAGGAGGAGGAGGCGGCGGCGAAGGAGGAGGAGGAGGAGACGGAGGAGGAGGCGGAGGAGGCGGAGGAGGAGAAGGAGGAGGCTGAGGAGGAGGAGGGCGAGGAGGAGAAGGAGGTGCCCGAGGGGAGGAGGCCTCGAAGACGACGGCGCCCGCGGGCCCCGTAAGCGCCTTCGCCGCCTCGGGCGTCGGCGGCGGCGCCGTCTCGCCGCCGGGGGCGGCGGCGGCGGCGCCGGGGGCGGCGGCGGCGCCGCCTGGCTCGAGGAGCGAGAGGAGGAAGAGGCGGAGGCGGAGGAGGGGGGGGAGGAGAGGGGGGGGAGGGAGGAGGGGGAGGCGAAAGGGGAGGAGGAGGAGGAGGAGGAGGAGGAGGAGGAGGAGGAGGAGGAGGAGGAGGGCAGGGAGGCTGCTTTGGGAGACTTTGGGGGGGAGCGCCGCTGTCCGCAGGGGGGCCGAGGGACCGAGGAGGAGGAGGGCCTACCGTTTGAGACATCGCGGGTGTTTGTAACATGCCCCCCACCCGGTCGCCTTGCTGCGGGGGGGGGCCTCAACAGCTACCCGACTGAAAGTTTGCTGCCTTTGATGGGGGGTCCTTCTCATGTTTTCTATTCCCTTTCCACAATGAGTCTGATTCCCACAACGCCCCTCGAACACTCAGTACCCAGGCTGGGCCGCATAGTTGACCACATCAACACATCACTGTGAAGGGTTCGTGCTTGCACGAGGTCGTGCGTAATCTTCCCAATCAAGAGGCAATCCTGGACATCCTTGAAATACGTTCGTGACCCTCTACGCCAAGGGCACTCTGAGATTCTCTGTGCTGCCTGTTGTTGTTGAGTTGTCACCTGTTTTGAATGCGTGCGACCATTGAAATGGCTCCATGAGCGATTCAACCACTCTGCGATTGCCTTCACTCGGAGACTTGTGGGTCAGAATCATGTGCCAACTTACTTGGCGGCGGAGCATCCTGTCAGCTGTTGTCTCGGCACAACCTGGTGGGGTCCTGCTGACAGCGAGAACCCCTGCAGCCGTACAGAACGACGCTCGCTGGACCTCCACCAACACTTCGTGAGATGCCCAAGGAATAGCCTGCCGGAAGGTGATGCGCATGCGACTCACAGACCTTGGGGTTGGTCTGGTAGGGGGTCAAGGGGTTCGTAACCTTCTGGTATTCGCTATCCCGAAGAGTTCTTGGTAATCTCGCCAGGGGCCTTAAGGGCATAGAACTGACAAACTCAGAGGCGAATCGTGGGCAAATACAACGATTCCTTCAACTGCTGTTGGTTCGAAACATATATCCCAGCTTCTATACCCGTTACCTGAATTCCCCATCGGGTGTTGCTTGCTCGCATTCGGGCCCCTGCCCTCAGCCCCGCCGCCGCTGTGGCACACGCTCCGCACATGAAGCGACCTCCTGATGAGCACTGGGCGTTTTAAGATGCACTGGGCATGTCATTTCGCCAACATCTACACACACCAGTGTGGTAGACGTCGATACCAGGTGCAAGTGCAGGATTCCCATGGTGAGGAACTTCACGGCCTCGCTACCACGCTTGCTCTCTCCCTTTGGTGATTGCCCTGCTTCTTGACCCTGGGTTTTGGCACACATTCCCAGAGCATGAGGGAGCTAGGCACAGGATAGACTGTGTCAGGGCAGGCCCCACTCTGTTGCGCTCTGCGTCCACTTCTCGTGACACTTGCACGTTCGACGACGTAATGCCACGCGACGATCACCGCCCCCCTTGTGGACACTTTTGGTTTGACATCACCCCATTGTGAATTCAGTGTCAGACGATGTCCCAGAGTGGATCCGAGGAGATTGCCCTCGGGAGTTGACCGTGCATAGGTCGAGGCCATGCGCGATGATCATCACTACGGCCACGTGTCAACAATCTGAAAAAAACCCGAACGACGATACGGAACGGGAACGCCGGGGCATACGCGGGTCGCGCGACACCGCGCGGACGAGAGTGGACAACAACGGACAAGAGTGCGCATTCGCGCGACTTCACGCGGGAAGCCTGCGCGCGAATGTCCGCGCAATCGACCCCGATATTTCCCCCGCTCACCTCGAGTTTCTGTATCTCGAGTGACCGAGGCGGCCAACACGGCCCTTTTGCCTGCCCCCTCCCGTGCACCCTCGAAGCCGTCCGTCCCCGACCCCGCTCCCGAGCTCGCTGCGCGGCGCAGGGGTGTGGTGCGCACGCTCCGCCGTGTGCTCGCAGAGCGACTCGTCCATGGAAAGGATCCTATTCCTCCTCCTCCTCCTCGTCCTTCCTTCCTCCTCCTCCTCCTCGTCCTTCCTTCCTACCTCCTCCTCCTCCTCGTCCTATTCCTCCTCCTCCTCCTCCTCCTCCTCCTCGTCCTATTCCTCCTCCTCCTCCTCCTCGTCCTTCCTTCCTACCCGCAGAGCGCGGCCGGTCTCCTGTGCGTGCGTCGTGAAGCCTGCTTGGCCCTCGGCATCGGCGTGGCTGCGCAGGCCCCTCGCCCCGACGGGGAGAGGGCAGCTCAGATCCGTCCGATCTGGCGCTCTGGCCGACGGCGGTCGGAGGTGTTTGCCGCAAGCCCCGCCAGTGATGAGCTTGAGGCTGTTGAGATGTCTCGGCCAGAGCCCGTGAGTTGCGAGGCAACTACTGGGAGGTTTTCGTCGGAAAGATTAAAGAGAATTAAGCCCCATTTGGGAGCTGTTACGCCGGAGTGGGCCTCGGACCAAGCAGGTTCAAGCCGGATTAAGCGGGACTGAGCCGGGTTCAGCGGGATGGAGCTGGGTGAAGCCGGATTTCGGACCAGGGCAAGAACAGAGCTTGACCTCCCCGGAGTAGCACACGTTACCAGCCTGGAACATATCCCTATCCCTATGCTGGGCACCTCCTCATCACGATGCCAATTTAGGGATTCCCCTATTTTTGAGGGCGAATCCCTAAGATTGTCATCGCATTTTGGCGTGTCAATCTTAGGGATAGGGCGTTCGAGGCTGGTAAATCCGAACGTGAGCGTGGTCGGCGCTGAAGGTGAGGCACCGCCGCTGCCGCCGACTCGGGCTGGGCCACCTGCTGCCGGAGCTGTCCGCTCTGCCGCCCGGTTTTTCACTTCTCCGCTGTGCCGAGAGAGGGTCACGGCTGGCGGTCTTCACCAAACGAGCAGGGCCTCAAGCACTCCCAGGGCGTAGCGCCTTGCCACGCCTATCGCAGATGCGGCGGGAACCCTTAGAACAACTCGGATCGGCACCTCTGTGTTAGCTGACTACTGCGTGAGGTAGGAGCATAGGTGAGTTGTCGTTTATCCTTGAGCAGGATCGCGCCCGGTGTCTCGCAGATGGTGCCCTGAACATCCAGATTTCTGCCGACACGATCAACCGACAATGAGCCAGGTCAAAAGGCTCTCAGATACGATCCAGGTCCAAGGATACCCCCAGCACTCCGCGCACGCACGTTAGAGCCCCTAGGCACCTGTCGGCTTCTGAAAAGGTTCCCCGGAGGCCATCCATGCCTCCCCGAAGAACCTCCGACCCCATTTGGTCGGACCCCATCTGGGAGGCCAAGAGAAGCCCCCTGAGGCGGGGGCCCTCGGATGTTCTGGGATGGCCTGTCGGACCCTGAGAGAACATGGGAAATGGAGGGGTGGGAAGGGAGCCGCCCCCCCAGAGATCCATGGCACCTATTGGAGCGGCCGTTGTTGGACTATGAATGAGAAAACTACTCAGGACGAAGAAACAGCTCAGACCTCGGGGGCTCAATGTATGGAAAAATTGATGTCTGGGGCCCTAGGGAGCCGTTTGAGGGACCCCAGAATGGCAGAAGAAAAAGCACGGCACAAACATAAACCTTTGGAGGTCCGCGCGGATATCTTTGAAGGGGTCCTGGGACACACACACATAAATACACACAAATAAAACTATTCCCAATAGTTTCCTATAGTTTCTGGGTTTCTGTCTTGCCGCCCACTTCCCATATTTCCCTATATGTTCTAGGGAATCGAGGATTAATTGCGTCTGTGTGTTTTTGTCCCCTCCTGACTTTTGAGGGACACCAGACTGGCAGAAGAGAAAGCACGGCACAAACATAAACCTTTGGAGGTCCGCGCGGATATCTTGGACCCGCGCTGGCCACCCCCCCCTGGCGGCGCCCCTGGCGCCGCCTTCCGCGCGCGAGCCAAGGAGGGGGTCTGTCGCCGACGCCAACAGGACGAGCGAACCTCCAAGAAGTCATGTTTATGCCGACGGCGCAAATCCGTCCGTTGCAACATGCTTCCGTCGAGGCTGTGAAGGGGAACGATGGGGCGGGGGAACGCCGCAGGGTCAAAACATCGAGCTGCCATCGGCGACACCTCGCTGCTGGAACGGTGAGGGGCCCCGGAGAGCGAGCCCGTACGCTGCCGGGCGGGGCGGGCGATCGGGCCCCTACCTGCGATGCATGGGTGATGGGGGGTCGATGCATCCGTCGGCGGCGAGCGAGGGGGGGAAGCGAGAAGGGGCGAGCCTGGTCAGACGGCTCGGAGGCTCCCCAGCCCTCTGCGAAGTTTTCGAAGCCTCCCCCAAAGGCAGAACAAAGACTTCTCAGACGGCGCGGAGGGCTTCTGAGAGGCCCCGCCGCCTTCTGAGGAGGCCTTCTCTTCTCTCCTTCTCCCTTCCCCCCCCCCCCTCGCTCGCCGCCGAATCCACCCCTGAGCCTGTCTCGCCCCCCTGCACGCGTTTTCTACGGCCATACCTCGGGCATCCGCCGGCCGTTCGGGATGATCCGCTCAGCCTCCGAACGCGCCCGGCGAGGCGCACCCCGAGGCCGAGAGACCGCTGTGACAAGACATCGGAAACGTCCGAAAACCTTCCCCTCACGTCGGTCGTGCTCCGCCGTCGCTGTCGTCGCTCGTCCTTGGTCGGCTGCCGTCCCTATCTCTCTCTCTCTCTCTCTCTGGCTCCTTCTACCCATACCCCCCCTTGAACACATGAAATATTTGCAGGTCGGGTCGAACAAATCGTCCAGGGGAGTTCCCTGGGGGAGTGTTCTTCATCCTGGGTCCGTTCCTGACAGTCCTGGGGCCCCAAAAAGCTCCTGGAGAACAAAAGCAACGAGAAACTAAAGACGACGAAACAAAACCAAATAGACGATTCAAGTTGCATGTCTTTTCCAGGGCAATGCAACGTTGCCCATCACGCGACAAGTCCCCAACATTGCCCTCAACGTTGCCCCCAACGTTGCCCCCAAAAGGGCTTGGACGACCGGAATGGGTACGATGCCCAAGAACGCATGGTGTCCAGAGCCGACAGCGGCAATTATTGGGCAGGCAGCCGTCTGTTTCATATGGACAACGCCCGCGGCGACTCCGACAACGAGTCCTGCACGGAACGGACAACAACTGCTGCCGCTCTTCGTACCCGTTCCTTCCGTACACATCTCGGTCGTAATTACCGAAAGGGGCGGGGTGGGCGTTCCCGTTCGGGCGTCGGTGACGTCGGCGATCCATCGACAACGTCGGCGTGGACAAAACCGGGCCCCACATTGAGCCGAATCGCCGATGCATCGGCGATGCCGCGCGATATCTTCCGACCCCATCCGCTACGACCCCATCTGAGAGATGGAACAACGCGACGGGCCCCCAAAGGATGCCCTGAACGCCGCCCCTGAAGCGACGGGGTGGGCGCTCCTGTTCGGCTGGTGGGGGCACCGGCGCCGGCGGCCGCGGGGGCGTCGGCGGCCGCCGCCTGCGGGCCGCCGTCGAAACCCGCGGGCGGGCGGTTTGGGTCTGGGGATTATCTTGCTCCTCCATCCGTCTTTCTCTGAATCCTCTCCTCCATCTCCTCCCTCCCCATTCCTCCTCACTCCTCCTCATCATTCCTTCCCTATCCACTCCGCTCCTCCTCCTCCTCCTCCTCCTCCTCCTCCATCTCCTCTCTCCTGCCCATCCTCGTCCTCCTCTTCCCTCCTCCTTCCGATCCTCCCTTCTCCCTCCTCCTATTCGTCCTCCTCCTCCGTCCTCTTCCCTTCTCCCTTATCTCCTCTCCTCTCTCCTCCGCGTCCTCCTCATCAAACCTGTTTGGACTGTGCGAACGTCTTGCACAGTGCAAACCGCACGATCAGTCATACGCGGGGTGTGGGAATGTCTTCTCGGGCCATGTTGCACATGCTGTGCATGAAGAAGCATGTTCTTCCTTATACTGCGGATCTGTTTGTCCCAACCATCATGTGGTGTTGGGTCCATGTTTTGAAGAGACAACGCCCCGCGTCTCCTTCCTTCCTCCCCTCCTCTCATCCCCCTCCTCCTCCCCTACTCCCTCCTCCCGGCACCCCCCTCAGTTTGGCACTCCCCTCACACCTTTCGTGGCCCCACCGAAGGCCTGAGTGGCTGCGTTCGCACGCGCCCACCGCACCAATTTCGGCACACCCCTCGCACGTGTCGTGCCCCTACAGACAGCTCCACCGAAGGCCCGAGTGGCTGCGTGCGCATGCGCCCACCGAACACATCTCGGCACATCCCTCAAACGCTTCGTGGCCCAATAGGCAGCTCTACCGAAGGCTCCAGTGACTCAGTGGCTGCGTTTGCACGCACCCACCGCACTCATTTCGGCACTCCTTTCACGTTTCGTGGCCCCATAGGCAGCTCCACAGGAAGATCCACCGACAGCCCCAGAGGCCTCGTTCGCATGCGCCCACGGTACCAATCTCGGCACACACACACACACCGTCACACGTTTCGCGGCCCCATAGGGAGTTCCACCAATGGACCAAGTTGCTTCGAATGCGCCAGCAACACCCATTTTGGCATACCCCTCACACGTTCCGTGGCCCCACACGGAGCTCCACCGACATGCGCCCACCGCGACCATTTTAGCACTCACACGTTTCGTGGCCCCATGTGGAGCCCCTCCGAAAGCGCCAATGGCTGCGTTCGCATGCGCCCCCCGCACCCATGTCGGCACACCCCTCCACACGACGTCCCCAGTGGCTGCGTTCGCATGCGCCCACCGCACCCATTTTGGCACACCTCTCACACGCTTAGCGGCCCCATATGGGAACTCAACCGACGGACCAACTTGGCTGCGATCGCATTACCGCACCGATTTCAGCATGCCCCTCGCACGCTCTGCGGCCCCATAGGGAGCTCCACCGACAGCCCCAGTGGTTGCGTTCGCATGCGCCTACCGCCCTCACACGTTTCGTGGCCCCATATGGAGTCCCACCGACGGCCCATGTGGTTGCGTTCGCATGCGCCCACCACACCTTTGGCACCCCCTTCACACGCTACGTGGCCCCATCGGCAGCTCCACCGACGGCCCCAGTGAGTGGTTACGTTCGCAAGCGGCCACCGCACCAATTCTGGTACACCCCTCACACGTTTCCCTGCCCCATGGGCAGCTCCACCGAGAGTCCCAATGGCCTCTTCGCATGAGCCTACCGCAGCTATTTCGGCACACCCCTCACACGTGTCGTGGCCCCATAAGGAATTCCACCGACGGCCCCAGTGGTTGCTTTCGCATGTGCCCATCGCGCAAATTGTGGCACACTCCTCACACGTTTCGTGGCCTTATGGGTGCCCCTCCGAATGCGGTGCATACACCGACGGTGCTCACAACTGCATCTGGTTGGGTCCTTCGCCAGGTTAGTTTCTTGGATGGCGGGAGACAATGGGAGCGGACAAAATGCTTCCACAGCTGGTGCCAACATGCGTACACCACCACCCATTGGGGGCGGATGTAAATACAACGTGATAAGGCCGAAGAGGCAGGCGGAGGAAGAGGAACAGGAGGAGGAGGAAGAGGAGGGAAGAAGGCAGACTGCTTTGCACGTGGACGATGGGCCGCATGGCCGTGACAAGAGGCGAGACAGTCCGAAACCCTGACCTGCCGGAGGAAGAGCGTCACTCCCGACAAACCACCTTGCAGATGTTGGTGCCAAAGCTAGAGGCCTCCTAGGTGGGGTCCGAATAGATGGGGTCGGAAGATCGCGCCGCATCGCCGATGCGGCGCGATCCTCCGACCCCATCTACCCTAGAAAAGTGGCTGTGGAGCTCCATCCGAAAGATGATGAGCGTCTAGTCACCATCGATCGCCAATTTGAATTCACAGAATGCTCTTGCAAACTGGCCGCGAAGCTGCCGTCGTCATTCCGGGCTGTAGAAGAGTACGCGCCCTTGCCACAGGCTGTTGGCTCCCCGGAAGATTGGTGTAAGTGATCGTGGGTTACTAAGTTCTGGCGATGCGATGATTGCGACCGCCCTTCCAACCAATTAAAATGAAAAACGACCAGGCCACCGCTACGCGCGCGCAGTGAACGGTAGTCGATTCAAGGCAAGCCAACGCACGCTGGTTGCATGTCCCCGCTCATACGCCTCGAACGTATCCATTGATGTTCATTGTGGCGCATGTGTGATGACTCCTTGTCCTCTTGAAAATGACGTGTATTTGGAGAAATGCCACTGCGTACTGGATGACAAGCGTAACAACAACTGGAATAAGGTGTTGCAAGGGCAACACCCCGGGCACGGGATATACAAGTATGACGGAAATATCGAGGAACGAGTGATGACGCTCAGGTGAGGCGAGTAGTTTCTAGGGAAGGGCCCCAGGGGAGTGGCGCAGCGGATGGCACCAGCGTTAACACGACCCCCCCCCAAAAGACAGCCCACGAGGCGCCCACGACGGCTCGAGATACCCCGAAGACGGCCCAAAAGAGGTCCAAAATGGCCCCACGACGACCAAACAGCGCTCCAAGAGATCCAGGCACCGTCCCAGAGCATTCGACGATGGCCTGCGATGGCTTCAAGACGGTCCGAGAAGGCCCCAAAACATGTCAACAGGCCCTCCAAAGGACTGCCCCCGGGGGCCTGAGGAGGTCAACCGGGATGTCCCCTTTGGTTTGTCGATGCAAGCGTTCATCGCAATAGCCTTGGCGGACCGAGAACGGCCCAAGACGGCCGGAATGGCTCGAAAGATCGCCCCGAAACACCCAAGGAGGGCCACGAGACGTCCCAGAAGGGCTCCAGAAGAGCCTCCAGAGGGCCCCAAGAGACCCCCAAGAGAGCTTCGAAAAAGACAGGCCACTTGGGCGACACAACCCTAAGGGTGGTGCCCAATGTGCCTGTATGAATTCACGTGCACTCGGACCTCGCAGCACGAACGACAGCACAGACACGCCCCAGGCGTCACATCTGCGCCGCCGATGCGAGCTGCCTCGACGTGCCACCCCGAGACACGGCCACCGGCGCCACCCCCACTTGGCCGCCGGCCCCCAGACGGCCAAAGCTTTTCAAAATGGCCAAAAAAGGCCCCATGGCGGCGGCCCCAGAAGGCCCTGCGACTGCCCCAGAGGGCCCAGAGGACCTCCACGAAGGCCCCGAAGACGCCGTCAAATTGAATGATGCTCGCAAGGTTCTTGCTAGATGTCTTTCCCATCCCGCACAAAATCTGAATACAAGAGCTCAGAAATATCGACGATGGTGCGAGCCCCCGGGCCTCACGACGGGTCAGTGACGGACACAGCTTTGACGCCAAGGCTTCCAAGAACTCCAGGTGGCGATGATATGTTTAAGCGGGTCGGTGGCGCAAAAAAGGTTTGAACGCCACGGCCCCAAAAGAGCTCCCGATGCTGTGAGAAGCTCTGAACGCCAAGGCTCCCAGTACGAACGGTGACGTTGACGCTGCGCGCGCCCTGCGGCGCATCCGATGGCGACCCATAGGAGGCCAAATCTGGCAATGCCACTCCAAATGGCCCCTTAGGTCGTGGTCGGATGTTTGCGGCTGTGGGTCATCATGTGATGTCGTTACGCTGCGCGGGGGCGGAGGCGGCACAATATCGCGCCGCATCTTGCCATGCATCGCGTCTTCAAAGAACCTTCCAAATGGAGTAGGAAGGTGGACTCCAGGGGTGTAGTAGCGCAGAGAGGTAGGACTCATGCAAGAAGCCTCCGCGTGAACGGAGGTGGCACTGCAGGTGTCCTTGCGGCTGTGCGTAGATATGTACATTCCTCCGCGCAAAACCACTGCACCCTGATGTTCCACCATGTCAGTAGTCCACCAGATGGCGCCGTGGATGGTGAGGAGTAGAGCTAGAGCTGACCGCCATAGGCCAGCCCCGCTACCAAATTTGAAGGGCGTCCGGAGGCCCAACCATACGCTTCGCCTAAAGCGAAGCATATATCCAACTCTGTTGTACCGTAGTGACGGTAGTCCCAGAAGTAGGAAGTCGTCGCGGGAGCGACGGGCCACGTCAAGCGAACATGTTTTCGGTCCCGATGGCAAATCGTGTGCCTCGCGATGAGGCTCAACCATATATTGGCGGCTGCCGCTTGAGCACAACCGGCCGCGGACAAACGCTCGCTCTCTCTCGCCTTTGCCCCAATATCCTTTAGAGTTTACTCCCCGCGCCGCACAAGATTCTCGTGAGCGGCGGGCTCCACACTTGTTCTTCGTGGTTGGATCAGCCTCGTGCTGCCGGTAAGAGCGTGACTCGAGCGTAATCTAGAAAAGGGGCGCGGCCCTGGGAGCGCGAACCCAGTGTAATGTACGAAGGATCATGGTCCTGGGAGCACGGGCGCAGCTGAATTTACGAGGATTCGCGCCTTCGGGTCCAACGCGGAATTTTTAGCAAACGGCGGGTGGGTCGAAAAGCACCCCCGGAACACGTATCCCAATGTAGAAACAAGTATTGCTGTCTGCTCTGGGGAAAGGGGGGCTCTTTTGGGTCGCCAATCTCTCAAGACTCGAATCCTTCCTGGCACGTTCCGTTGCACACTGGTGTTTTGGAAACGTTGTCATGCCTCGGATTTCTACATTCCGTTCCAAGTTCGTGGGTCGATACTGTTATTTTTCCGGAGATAGCGGCCATCGGATAACCAAGGTCATCCCCTGGAGGGGGGGGAAGTGCTGGCCGATAACCTGACTTTCTCGCTCTGGGCAGCACAACGCGTGCCCGCGCGCACCAATCTTGCGCACCCCTTTCGGATCTGCGCAGCCGGCAAGATCAGGTTATCCGGGGAGGACGGGGGGCGGGCTGGATCACCTGTATGGTCGCCGGACTCTTCAGAGCAGTCTCCTGCGCAAGTACCCCGACTGCTGCCCAGGTCCCCGCCCAATGTCAAAAAGCAGGAGGCCGCCGTGCCCCCTGCCTCTCCGTGCCCCCTGCCTCTCCGTGGACGGGCTCCGCGCGCGGACGGGTCCCCCTCTGCTGCCCTCGAGAGGCGTGGGGCCGCTCCACGGGGTGCGGGCAAACTTTGCATCCATCTCCACTGCGGCTTGGACTCCTTCGGAAGAGGCGCCCAAGGCCGGGGCGCTGTTGATATGGCGATATGGATACAAATCTGACCTTTGGGGGGAAGATGCTTATCCGTATCCGCTGTGCCTCGGGTGCCTGGGGAAGGGACACAAAATCTCCAAGATGCAATGGAGATGGACAAACTTTTGCCCGCACGGGTGGCGGAAGCGAATGCGAACGCCACCTCGCATCGAGATCGGCCCGTTGTGCCGTGCGTGCAATTTTGCTTCGCACAAGTGTAGGGGGTGAGTCGGACGAGCGAGAGGAGGAGGACCCCGAGATCCGACGTAGCGGGCGCAATAACACATCATCGCGAACAAACACGACCAGGGCACTAGAGCCAATCTAGTATATTTCTGGCAATATCGATATGTGTGATAGTTCCGGGGGCGGAACAACGGTGCGAAAACGCCATGTGTGAAACAACTGCAGGGCAAGCAGGAGGGTGAGACGGACGAGGGGCAAGGGCGGGGAGGAGGATGATGAGGAGGTGACCAACACATGCGATGCCTTGTTTATGTTCCCAGAAGGGGTCCCTGGAAATCCCGACCCTTTCTCCAAGACACGTTTTTCATCCAAACTTGGTTGTTCGACGATCCCGAGGCCCGACGAGGGCCCCTGGAGGGCAAAACGGCAACAAACTTCCCGTTGCGATTTGTGCAACGGCGCGAGCATACCTGGAGAGGGAAGAGGAGGAAGAGGAGGAGGAGGAGGAGAAAGACACGACGGCTCACGCAAACCAATGTTGGTCCAACGCGAACAAATGATGATGATGATGATGATGATGATGAGGAGGAGGAGGAGGAGGAGGAGGAGGAGGGGGAGGAGGAGGAGAAGGAGGAGGAGAAAGGCGGAGCCGCAAACTTCTGCCTGCGCCCGTGTCTTCCGCCTGCCCGCGAGAGGCAACGGCCTGCTGCGAGCGCTTCGTTCGTTCTGCACATGCTTGGTTGTAATCAAATGGCCACGGCGCATACGTCGGGTTCAGTGGTTTGCCCCCTTGAGTTACCACCCTGGCGCTCTAAACTTGCCTAGCGTCGATCATGTGGAGCCTCTTGTGCTGCGTACTACTCACAACTGCAAACGCTGATTTCACGACACCCCCCAGGGAAACACCCCCCCAAAAAAAGGGATTGCAGCGTTAACCGTGAAGCTGATGCCGACGGCGACATCGACAGGAGGAGGAGAAGGCGGAGGAGGAGAAGGAGGAAGAGGACGAGGAGGAGGATGTGAAGGCGGAGGAGGAGAAGGAGGAGGAGGAGGAGGAACCCTTCGGCTTGTGCCCTTCTCCTCTTGGGCAGCGGCCTGCTGCGCGCCCTTCGGCTTCCTGTTGGCCTTCCGCGCCTTGGCCGACGGCAGGCCGGCCCTCCTCCGCGCGGCAAGCGGCGGGTGAGGGGGCGCCTCTCGGGAGAGGCGCGCGGGTCTGCGCGCTCGAGGGGGGGGGGCGGAGGAGGAGGAAAGGGGCGGGGAAGGCGAGGGGGACAATGACGAGGAGGGATGGTGCGGAGAGGGGGAGCGAGAGGAAGAGGAAGACGAGGACGAGGAGGGGGAGGTGGAGGAGTAAGCCCCCCTCCCCGGAGAGGAGGAGGGATAGGAGGAGGAGGACGAGGAGGAGGAGGATGAAGAGCGGGAGGTGGAGGAGTGAGCCCCCCCTGCCTCGCGGGAGCGAGGCCGTCGGCCTCTTTTTCACGGGTGGGCGTGCGCCTGCTGCAGCACGCGAGGCACGCGCAATCGCGCGGCGCCACAGCGCGGAGCCGCGCGGCGCGGGGCGGCCGTCAACGGGAGGGCAGTCGCCACTCGGCGATTCGTCTCGACGTCGGGTCGGACGTTTTCGTCGGCCGCTCTCGTCATCTATCGGCGGTGTTCCAACCGCGGGATTGTCTCCAGATGCTGCGCCTCGCTGGGAGCGCTGCGGGGGTGCTGGGATCGTCCCGATGGGCCGCCAAAGGCCCGGGCTATTGCCCGAAAGTAGGATACCAGAGGGCGTGACTTGATCCATCCCTGTTATTCCTGGAAAGGGGCCTGGGTCCATTTCCGGCGAAGCGACCGTGGTCCTGGCGCCCTTCGCGGACGACCTCGGCTCGGTCAGGCCGAGGCCGAGAGAGCGAACGGAAAGCCTCCCCTTCGCGGGCAAAGCCGCCTGCCCCAGTTGTCGGGCCCCCCTTCCCACTTCCGCGAGAGGCAATCAGCAGTGTTCTTCGCCGAAGGGACCCAGCGGAAGTACCGCTTGGCGCAGCTCGCCATGGCCAGAGCCGAAGCTCGACGGACACGGCTGAACATGGAGAACGACGCAGCCCGAGTCTTCCCAAAGACCACAGCGTTGCCCAGCCGGTCCCCCATGATCAGGAGGTGCCTCTTGAAGCCTTCAGTGGACCTAAGACCATGTCTAAACCCCAAGACGGTGGCCTCGCTTCCAGAGTAGGCATTCCCTCTAGATCTTTTGACCTCGTGGAAATATCACCTCGCCACAAAGCCTTGTCTAACATGTCGTTCGGGACATCCTGGAAATGCGGGTCCTCCTCTAGCATTTCCAGCGCACCTCCGGGCCCCCCAGGGCGTACAAAGCCTAAATATGACAAGACATCCGCGATTGCAAGGGCAGTGCGACGAGGTTGTGGCGCCGGGCGCTTGCCTCGGTAGCGCCGCCGTTCCGAGGCGCCGCCAACGTCGCAACTCTGCTGGTGTCAAAGTCGGCAAGAGGCGACCCCAGCCCTTGCCTGGCATGCATCCACCATTACTACCCGGGGTCCCAGGTCATCTTCAGGTCAGCGGCACAGACTTCAATGAGGCCCCTGATCCGCCGAGCCTCTTTGCGTAGAGATGTTCACTCCCGTTGCCTGCCTGCGCCTACCTTCTGGATGAAGTAATACGCGGAGCCAAGCGCGGCCAACGCTTCACGCCGAATAAAGGAAAATTGGCGAGGTGCCCTGTCCATCTCTGAACGGCGTGTCCAGACAGGCAGGCGCCTCCCTCAGTAACTTTGCAGAACTTGGCGAGCCGCTCGGCACGCTCAGGCTCGTTGTATACGATTCACTTCTCTCCGTCAACGCAACGGCCCAAGGAGACGACCCAGGTAGAGGCGCCCTCCTCCTCGTGCACTGGGAAACCTTTTGACCTGAGGTGAAGGGCGACCTTGTCCATGGCCCCCCCCCCCCCCCCCCCCCCCCCCGCACCACCCTTCCCAAGGCCGCTGACGTTGAGGTTGTCACAATATGGCAGCACGCAAAACTCAGGGCCCGCGTCTGGGATGGGCCCAACATCGCGAAGCAGAGAGTAGCGGCGCACGCCCTTCCAGGCCTCGTCGATGAGACCCCCAAAAATTCTGTCCGAAATAGAAAACCCAACTCCAGCCCATCGGGGCCGATCGCAGCATGGGCCAAACGAAGTCGGAATCACCCGAGACCTCGAGGTCCTGCATGAGACCCCGCGCCTCGACGACCGAGATCGGAGGCGAGAAAAATAAGGCTGGAGGTCCGGGTGGTTCTAGATCGCATGAAAATAATTCTTCGCATCTGCAGCGACAGCGCAGGATAGCGCGACGGTAGTTCTTCGCATCTGCAGCGGCAACAAAAAGGCCACCCGCTCCTTCGGACTTCTCTATCCTTGACCGGGCCCCCCAGTGCCCATGTCGAGATGCGGGGGCGGCCGAATATGGAGGTTGATGACGCGGCAGCCCATCTCCAAACGGAGGTAGCCGCTCTTCTTGGCCACGAAAAACGGCGCACATCTCGCGAGGCTGGGGGGTCCACGCGACGAGCGAGGCGTCGTGCAGGTCATCGAGGAACGTGACGTACTTTGTCCTGTTCGAACGCTACACGGCGTCCATGTGGGGCTTGGTGGCGCACATCTTCTCCGACCTCCAGCCCGCGTCGTCAGAATCTGCCAGCGCGGCCCCGGCTGGCCGCCGCGGCAACTCCCTCTCCGGCCCACGAGCCACCGAGGTCAGCGGAGCAGAGCTCCCCCCAACCGCTGGGATCGACACCAGAGAGCGCTAACACGGCCTCGCTGTGGCACCCTGGTCGACGCCGGCGTAGTCGACCACGCTAGTCAGGAGCTCTTGGGCGGCCCCGCGGTAACTGCAAGTGCGCGTCGGCGATGGCAGTGAGGAGGCAGGCTCGAGCATGGCCTCCTGCGAAGTGCGCTGCGCCAGTGGTGACCGACGGGTCTCTGGTCCCTCCTCCACGCAGCTCATCCCATTCAAAACGGCGAGCGCCACATTGACCCTCTGCTCAACCCCGCGGCGCCGAGCCAACCTCCTCGGCGCGCAGCGCGATGGCCCAGGGGGGGTGCGCGGAGATATCGGGGTAGGAAGCGCAGGTAGAAGCTCTCGAGGTGGCACGCGACGATACTCTGACACCGTTGGCCCAAGCTGCCCATTCAAACAACCCCGACCCAAGCGATCACGATGCGCAGATTCACACGAATTGGCCTCGGCACGGGCGCGGGGCGGCCGTCCCCCGCGCCCGCCACCCCTCGGTGGCGGTTGTTCCTCCTTCTTGCCCTTCTGATTCTGCTGCCTGCGCAGCCGCTGTTCCTCCTGGGCCTTCCTCGCCTCTTTGGCCACCTGCGCCTCGCCGCGAAGGCTGTCGGCGACGTGCTGACGAAACTCAGTGGCGATACGAACCCCATTCTGCGCGTGCGCCAGCCCATGTAGTGGCCGGCCGCGCTGTAGTCCGCAGCGCCGCCCGCTCCATTGTGAGCGTGCGCGTCCTCGATGAGCTGGAGCCTCCGCGCGATCAGTTCACCTAGCCGAAGGCTTGGAATATTGAGCTAATCCACGCACGCCATCGCCTCCAAGATGCGGGACAGCGCCTCATGCTAATTCTGGGGCCTGTCTCCTTCCTGGAACTTGGCAGCTACCTTCCAGTACTCTGACTGCGTCACAGCAGTCTGGGGCAGGGAGGCCGTTTCTTGCGGCCTGTACCCGCTCGTGCGCGGGCCCGTCAGATCCAGGCGCCCTTTCCGGAATATCGTCTGTCATGTGGGCCACGGCATCCGCAGGCGTCCGACAGCGGTGTCCTGTGCCATCGAAACGGACTGGAAGGACGCTCGAATCATCATGAATGTACTCGTCCAGGTCCTTGCGGCCGATCTGTCGCACGAGAACAACGTCACCGTCCGCCGTCGGCATCACGGCTTTGTTCCCCAACACCCGGGACTCGGCGTGCAGGTCAACGGCGACCTCTCCACGGCGCAGCGAGCCCACATCCTCGGCGACGACCCACGCGCGCCCAGGCGGGGTCCGCTGCGGAACGGGACCCGCCTGCTGCGCGGGGACTCGGGCCAGGCCGCCGACCTGCTCCCCAGGGGCCGCGGCCAGCCTGACTGGTGGTCGCTGCTGCGCGACGCCGCCCAGCATGATCAGGCTGTCGCTGATGAGGGCGCGCTCGGCCGCCGCGGTCGGCTTCCGTGCGAAGCGGTAACACCTGTCATTCCGAGTCCCTGGATGAGAGGCCCCCTGGTCTCCCAACCAATGCACTGAGTAGATATCGTCCCCTGCAGTGAGGTCCAGCTCGTAGTGGTCACCGCTGGGCGTGTATCTGGTCACAGCGTTCGGCGGCCCTGCCTTCACGCCCGTGATGAAGGCCTCGTGGTAAAGCGGCACGTCGTCATCTTCAAGGTTATAGCGAATCATAATGTACTCTCCAACCTGCGCCATGGCCTCTACTGGGACCGCAGAGCCACTCTTTCACGAAAATCCTCCTCTGTCGCAGCGCCTCGGAGCGCAGAGCATGGCGGTGGGATCCTCGGCGGGCGCCGAGCACTCCTCGTCAGGGACAGGCCCCGACGCTGCCTCGCGCGGGCGAGGCCTGCAAGGGCAGAGACGAGCTGCCACCGTCACCACCACGTTCACGACGGAGAGGGCCCAACCGAGGTAGTCGACCTCGGGGCAAGGCGGGCACGCCAGTGCCGGGCAGATCGGGCACGGCGGCGCCTGCGGGTAGGCCACCACCGGACAGACCCCGTCGTCGGGGTCGAGGTCCTTAAGCCCCCCTCGCAGCCGCCCCCACGGACCGCGCAGCGCGCGGGACCCCCACGACGAAGCTGCCCTGCGCTGCCTGCCACAGCAGCGAAGCCAGCCCAGGCGCCGATGCGGCCAGCAGTGAGAGCGGGGCGAGGAGGGGGCGGGGGCTCATGTGGTCGTCCCCGAGAGTAAACTTGAGCCCCGATGATTACAGACAACGCAGTGCAGAACATTGAGACACTGGGACGGCAGTCACTCAAAGGCTCTAAATACTCCTGCAAGCAAATGTCATGGGTCACCTGTTCACTCAAACCATGTCTGTACTTGAGATCCGTTCGCCCGTCAGCGCAAGCCATGTGTCTTTTTACCTCGGTTGTTTCGCACGTGTCTTGGAACCTTGTGAGTTTGCATTGGTTTCTTTCGCCCGTGAGCCACACCATGAACTTGACCTGGGTTATTTCGCCCGTTCAACGAAACCCAATGTTGCTTTACATGTGTATCGATGCATGATTACATTACTACGCTGTATGGAAAAACGTATCAACAAAATCCTGGACAACACTCCGGACAACCTGGACAACCCCTCCGAGACGGAGACCACTTGTGCCCTAGCATGTAAGTGTGGCCAACGCTTGAGCGAGAGCACCGCTCCCAACCAAGGATGTGGCCGGCGCGGCGCACTGGAGAGAGCCCCTTTTTCCATCAGGGATGTGGCTGGCGCTCAGGCGAGAGCAACATCCAGTGCTCGGGCGACAACTCACTTCCCAATCGAAAATGTAGTCACCGCTCAGGCGACAGCACCACTCCCGTTCAGGGATATGGCAGGCGCTCCAACGAAGGCACCATTCGCCACCTTCCCCCCGATTCTGTGGGAGTCCTGTGTCTGCTCATCCCTGGGTCAGGGCATCTGTGTGCACAGAGTTGCGAGGCTTTCTCAGGCAAAACGGCTGGACAACCTCGCACGCAGCATCTCAGACGCCGTAGTTTCGAGGATGTCTCAGGCGAAACTGGCTAGACAACCTCAGGTCAGGACATGCCATGCCATCCCCGAGCTCAGAGTTGCGAGGATGTCGCAGGGGAAAGTGGCCAGACGCTGTGGAATGAGGAGATGAAGGCTGAAGGCTGAAGAATGAGGAGGCCCAAGAGAAAGCTTGGGTAGGATTGCGCCTGGACAACCCCCTGACAACCCCCCAGACAACCTGGTTGACACCCCTCCGGACAATCCCCTCGAGAATCTGAAGTGCGGGGGAAAAGCCTTGTCCTTGTATTGGGAGTCGCCAGTGGCTCTCTTCTTTCGGACCACCTGAGGTCAGGGCATCTCTGAAACCAAGGTTGCGAGAACGGACCACCTCGTGGGCGGCATCTCCGAGCCCAGATTTGCAAAGACATCGCAGGCGAAACTGGCCGGAACACCTCAGATCTGGGCATGCGTGAGCCCAGCATTACGAGGGTGTCTCAAGCGAAAGTGGCAAGACAATCTTCTCATGTTGAGCACGGCTCTGATCCCGCGGCTGGAACTAGCTTCTACAACCACAAGACTCCAGCCAGTCACGCTTCGTGGGGAACAACGATCAATGAGGATGTGCCAGCAGGAGCGGGAGGACGCGAGAGAGAAGGAACGAACAAGAGGGGAAGGAGAAGAGAGGCGCCCTTTCCAGCTGGGTCTGACTGGCTGTGCCATGCTTCTGATGGTATGGATGATTCAGGCATGTGCGTGCGCTGGAAACCAGCACGGCCCAGACAACCCCTTGGACAACCCCGCGAAGAACCGGGCCACCGCTCCTCCCCGGACAACCCCCCCCACCACCCCTCCCGGACAACCCCCCCGGACTTGTTCCATACAACTGAGTAGTCCCTTTCGCCCGTGCGCTCAAGCCATGTGTCACGTGTTTTAGCGTAGGCTCCCTTCGCCCGTGAGCCGTGACCATCTGTTTTGACACGGGCCCCTGTCGCCCGTGAGCCACAACCATGTGCTTTTGCATGGGTTCATGTCGCTGGCGAGCCAGCACCATACGCTTGCTCATTAATTCTCTTCGCCAGAGGAGAAGGACAGGAGGATGGGCAAGATTTGTGAGACCGCACTCCTTGGAATGTGCGCGTCTAAGCCCTGAGCTGAAGCGGATCTTAGGAACGGCCTGAGTCAATCGACCGCGACCAACTTCGGACGAGACAGGCTAGATGAGGATCCGGGCGCAAAAAACTGCTCGATCATATTATTTACGAACCTTTGACGAGGTCGGGCGGAAGTTGGCACAAGTGTAGTTCGGGCCCGAGGATTCGACATAGTTCGCGCTGACTTCTGTGAGCGGCTGCCCCGTTCCGCCCAATGGTACTGGGCCGCGCCTTCCCCCGGCGGCGGCGCGCGCGCGTCAGATGGCACATGTCTTGAGAACTGAACGGGAAACTGAACATATTTTATTTCTCCCACCTCAAGCATCCTCCCCTCCTTCCTTTCCCAAAATTCTCAGCCCAACTGGCTCGGATATTAGGTTCCTTCTCCTCGGAGTCGACATGTCCAGCCCCGTCCTCGTCCTTCCTGGGCGGCTATGACGACGGCGACGGGAACGACAACGGCAGCGGCGACGACGGCTAGGGGACAGACTCTCTGGAAGGATGAGGATGTGGATGGGGATGAGGATAAGATGATGATCGGCGGAGGATGCTGAGGATTGGAGTAAGGACGATGATGAGGAGTCGGATGAGGAGGAGAAGGGGGAGCAGGAGTAGTAGGAGCAGGATGAAGATAAGGAAGAGATGAAGTATGAGCGAGCCATGCGTTCAGGCAGCGGGACTTTAAGATCCATATTAGTTGGAGAACATTGCAATTCAAAGCTGCGTGATACAGCGCGGTTGTTGAGCACGGCTCGGCACAGCACGGCGCAGCGCAGTGCAGCCCAGGGCGCGGTGTCATCGTGCCGTTCCCTTGTCCCTCGCCTGGCTTTCCCTGTCGCGCTTCATCGTCGTCCCCCGCTGCCGTCTCCAGCTCGGGGCCGGTAGCACGCGGGCCTCGGTGAGACGCCCTCGCGCGCGGGGGGGTCCCGCGGCGTCTGCGCCCACCAGGTCAGCTGCGCGGCCGCGCTCGCAGGGTCAGCCGTGCGGCCCCGCCGGGCTGCCAGCTTCTTTCGAGGGTAGCGGCGCTCGTTGCCGACGCCCGGCGCGCTATGCCTGCGCTGAAGCGCCTGGCGGAGCCTGTCCTCGCCGATGCCCGCTACGGGGCCTCGAGGGCGGCAAAGGCAGGCCCGGCCGCAGGAAGAGGCCAGCCGCCGCCTACAAGGGCTCGCGAATGCTCTGGTCACCGCGACAAAATCGCGTGCAAGGCCTTGCTGATATCCCTGGCCACGGATGATGTGAGACAGCGACTGATGCGCAGCAGCTAACTATGATTTCGAGAGCGCCCGGCGCATGGAAGGCCTGAGTCAGATCGAGGCGGGAACGGCGCTCGACGATGAGTGGTCGGGGAGAGAGGTCCAAAAAGAGGCTCAAGTCTTCAACGTCCCCACCCGCCAGAGGAAGCATCAGCAGGTCGAGGAGGACGTCCAGCAGGCCGTGCGCCAGGCCTCAGCGCGCGCCCCTGGAACTACGACCGCCATGGACGCCGAACGCCGGACGGCGCTGCGCAGGCGGACGTGGGAAGCGCCGCGGGCTTGTGCGCAGCGCAGAAGGACATCCAGAGGCGCCACGGGGTGGACGCGCTGCGGGATGAGCTGCTCGTCAGATCTTGTCAAAAAGATCTGCGCCTGCGCGTGGTGGGCATCTCCAGCGGCACGGGGGCTGGCCCTCTGAGTCAGCAGAGCTCTCCACCGACGACGACCTGTGGGCGCGCCGCTACTTGCAGAGCGCGCTGGCGCGCAGGTGCGCGAGCGCCTCAACGGGCGAGCAGCTCTCGCTGGGCGACACGGCGTAAAGGCAGCAGCTGGCCGACAGGATCCTGGAGGATCACCGGCCCGCGTGGCAGGCGGACCCCCTGCGCGACCAGTTGCAGGCGTACTGCGAGAAGCACGGCAGCCTGCACGCGAGGCCCGCCAGCCGGGCGAGCGACGATCCCGATGGCCTCCCACTGATGGTCTGAAGACAATCGCCGCGCGCGGCGGGACGATGTCAAGGACGAGCGCGGCTGCCTGCTAACGCCGGCAATTCTCGCCCGACGACATGGCCTCCTGGGAGAACGCTGTTCCGGCCAACGTCCTGCGAGGCACGGTGCGCCAGACCGAGGCCCACGCCCCTGGGCAGAGCAATTCTCAGCAGCCGATGCGAATGGTCCAGGGAGCCCGCGCGTTGCCAGCCAGGGCTTCGCCGCGAAACGTCTGTTGCAGGAGCACTGGCCCGAGGCTGAGCGGAACTCGCTGGCGCCGCGGCGAGCGGAAGAGGAGGCCTGCAAGGTGAATCTTCGCGGGCGAGCAGTCGGAGGGCCCCTTCGAGGTTCGCGGCGCGGAGCAGCGCCGCGCGCGTTCGAACGCTTCGCGGAGAACCACGCGCAGGCCCGACCTTGGGCGAGGTTCGACCATGTCGACGCGCTGGAGACCGCCCCGGTCGATGGCCGCGCGCTGGGCGGCTGCGTTGTCTTCGCGCGCTCTGCCTGACTGGAGGAACTCTATGGCGCGGATGTTTTCGTGGACCCTGTCGACGCCGCCACGGACGAGGCCGCCCATGACGAGGGACGAGGGTGCGGGAGAGGGCGCCGAGCACACGCCGGCGAGCGCACCTACGCGGCCATCGGAGGAGCCCCGGCAGAAGACGCAGCCCCGCCGCGCCTGGGTCGCTTCGCGGTGCGGCCCGACGCCGCCGAGGGGGTCCTCGCGCTTCTCGCCATGGAGCGAAAGGCCGCGAGATGGCCGTGAATCCCGCCGCACGAGCTGTGGGTCTCCAACGTGCCGCACCCGCGCGCGCCTGGCTGGAGGTGGCTGCTCCAAACCCATAGGTTGCCCAACCTCTGCCTCGATGGGCATGGGCGGGCGCCCGTGGTGAGGGCGTGCTTCAACTGCGGCAGATCCTGAGGGTGAAGGCGCGCGCCAGAAATGAGCATGCTGATGTGAGCACTGACGAACGACACCTGGAATGGCCGCGGCCCCTGCGAGTTGCGGGGCTGCGATCGCTGGCCTGGGACCGCGCGTGTGTTTGCACAAGAGCACTGCCGAGCCCGAGCCAAGAGGCCCCCGAGGTGAGCGGCAAGGG